ATAATTTAGTTTCTTAATAATAAAAGATAATAGAATTCCCGAAATAATAACTGGTATCAAATTGTAAATTTATATTTTCGTGTTAAGTTAATTAGGTTAAAGTACATTAAGGCGTTAGAATTAAACGCATACGGAGGAAAAAATGGTAGAAAGTCGATTCCCGGACCTAATTACCTACGAAATAGATTCGCGTTTTATAAAAAGACGGAAGAAACCCGGCATTTATATTTCTAAAGTCATAAATTTAAAAACAAAATTATAGGCGTCGAAGGTAGAAATAATATAAAAATTAAACGCTTATATAGTACGAAAGAAATAACCGGTAATTATTTATTGCCACGCGGTGGCCATACCGGGCCGCAATTTTTAATCCATTTAATTTAAAATATACGCTGTCCGCGGCTTCTCCCGTACATCGTACTTTCATTCGACCATAGAGTCGTCTATTAACCGCTTTGGGGGGAAACTTTTCCACGGAAATAACGGGACTTTGGGTTGGCGTCGGAAGTTCTTATATAGTTAATCGGGCCTCCCGCCCCTAAGATTTTCGTATCCGATTTCGATTAGATTAAGGAAAGACGGACGACGGCGGTAATTTATAGGTCTACAATTTTTTTCGAATCGCGGTCCAATTACGGAAAAGTCTTTCGTCCGTCGTATCGCGTTTGCCTGCCTTAAAATTGCCGTTTTTTACTTATTTCGATATTATGGAAATGCCGTCTGGTCGAATCTCGGCGCAATGCCGAGAATAAAAATGATCGGGTTTGAAATGGACAAATTTCCCAGTGACCCGATAAGAAAAACGGAATGGGAAGTAGGGATAAAAACTGGAAAGAAAATCGGCGAATACGTTCCGATGAAAATGAATACGAAGTTACTAATATGGGCAAGTTCATAGGACCGATGCCCGCCACGTATCTTCCGGGGTATGGCCGATATATTTACGACTTGGTCGATATATTTAGAACCGCTCTCCGCGTTTTTACTATCCGGCGCTTCCGTAGAAATATCGCGCCTTCCGCGGGCTCGGGACTGGACGCAATTTTTAAAAATGTACTAAAAATTTCATTTTCATCAAATAGCTGGAAAATATCGCTTTTTTGTCGTTAAACGGTATAAACTTCCATCGGAGCCCGACTTTGCCACGTATTATAACCCCGTAGGACGAAAAGAGGGGTCGGCAAACCTCGAAATACCGTACTTCTGGCCAAGCGACAACGCCGGGAATTGGCGAACAAAATTGTCGAAGAAGTTTGCGGAATGCCAGACGAATTCGATGGTTGGAAAGCCGAGACACGGAGAAAACGAAACCACCCGGTTGGAAATGATTAACACAATGGAATGATCGGAAGGAATAAAATTCATTCGATTTACGAAAAATAGAGAGCGTGGTGGCGAAATAGATGGCAGTCCGTACGGCGAATAACGTTACGAAAACGGAAATAGGTGATTGGAGCGAAGACTCGGAGCTAATAACCGCCGGAGATCCATAGAAGACGAAGAGTGCTCTCCCGAAATAGAGAAGGTCGATAACGAAAAGAACGAAGTAAAAGATATTACCCGCGTCGAAATGGAAAATAGTGAAAAATCCTAGGAAGAGTCTTCTTTCGCATCGAACGAAATCTCTGTAAAAATTCGACAAGCTCGAATTTTAAACGGTCACTAAATCAGTTAGCGGGAAAATGTTACGGCTTTCCGAGTTTAAATTTGCAACGGCGAATGTAGAGGAAAGCGTTGGGATAAAGATTTCGGAGGTAGATGGGGCTAACCGGAATAATTCGGCTGGTATAATTTTTATTGAAAATGAAAACTTATCCACTAGAGGCGAAACGCGACGTTTGAAACCGGCGCTACCGGGAAACTTTTATTTGGCTTAATGAAGCTCCGGATATGGAAATAAGTCTAAAAGAATTCTAATTTAGGTGGTCGAACAGTTCGATATCGCCACCGTACGGTCGATTGTAACTCAAATCGCTGCAAATGTAAAAAGACAAAAACCCTTCGTAATTCCAAATGCCGTTCCTGCAGAAATAAATACAGTACAGTAATACCCCGAACTTAGGCGATAGGTGGGACCGAGCGATTACCGCCTAAGTCGGGGTGTAATTTCGCAATTTGTGTAAAATCCAAGTCGGATGTATGTAAGCTAATAAATGTTCTCGTTAATCTTATCCCGTCTTTTGATTCGTTCGCATACGAGCCAGAAATATACTTAGATATTCGATCATTTATTTTATTACGCTGGCCCTGCCAAAATTTCATTAGCGCGTTACCTCAAAAGTCTTACGTAGAAATTATTTATTCGCGTGTAATGAAACGAAATATTTCCCAAAAAAAGTTATAAAATGAGCGAGCTTATTATATAAGAGTGTATATACACTCTTATATAATAAGCTCGCTCATTACAACCGATTTCATTACAAGCTTGCCCAATACAACCGATTATTTTATAACTTTTTGAATGAAACCAGCAAAAAAAATGGGATATTAATCGTATTGCGCGAATACCGCGATTGTGTTTAGCTACTTTGTTAAATAATTAACACACGGACAAGTTTCGAAATGTTGCTAACGCCTTATTCATTCGTCCCGTAATTAAGCCATGTGGAAGAAACGGCCGCGTCGATTGTCTTAAAGGGTTAAAGTAATTAGGCTACTGTATAACGGAGACGTCGGTCGAATTTCGATTTTCTGAGCAGAAAACCGTAAATGCGGAGACAAATATTTTATATTTATGTATTTCATCGAGTCCAATTGATGAATCGATCGATTAACTTCAACGTAGACATTATTTATATTTCACGTAATTGATAGAACAGTGACTAAATTATGTAATTATACTTTTAAGCGGTAGGCTCTCGAATATCCGGATTCGTCCGATATCGGGTGAAGCCAGTAAATTTTCCAAGAAACGGGAAGGCGTTGTTATTCGTGACAAACCGGACCCTTAAGCCATCCGCATCGTCCCCCTTCTACTAAGCGGATGACGGAGAAAAAGATTCGCCAGACTTAATGGCTTATTCGTAAGAATTTTTGGTTAACCCGCTCTTCGGATAATCGAGAGTCTATATTCTATTTTACGTGTAGATAATTGTTTAATTTTGGAATGTACGATTCGATATCGATTGAAAGAGGTTTAAACATCGCAAAACCCCGACTTATCTGGTATTTACAATCTACAATTGTGCAAATTACGGTATATTTATAACAATTTACAATTGTTATTAAAAACATTTGGCCTTATAAGGTTAAATACTTGAATTTGACCATTCGATGCAATGTACAGTACGTGTCATAAAATCGCGAGAGTTTAAAGAATTTATACCCGTATTTGCGTTTTTGTCGCTCTTTCGCTGGATTTTTTTCTAGAAAGTATACCGATTATAGAAGTGCCGACGGTTTAAAGTAGCGTAACGCCAGCGAATAACGACGAAAGATCGATTCGCACGTAAGTGACACGTCTCGTCGGTCCTTTCGTCGGTGTCGGCCATTAATAATAATGTTTCTTTGAATTTGGCCGAAGTACGCGCGTATGTCCGGCGTAGCGACGTTTTTTGTCATTAGGTGCGAGTCGAGTATCCGTAACGTGACGTTGCGCATCGTTACCAACGATATTTCTGCTATTTCACCCACTAACGAATCTGTAAGCTTAGCTGTACTAATTTCAAAAATTATAAAATACTAGCAGACCCCGCCACGCGTTGTTGTGGCTCAAAATGTATCTATTATAAATGTATAACATTTCCCCCGTGGGGGAGGGAATTTTTCGAAAAATCCCTTCTTAGTGTACATTCTCTCGACGTACCATATTAAAACGCGATCAAAAACGCAAAAAACCGCATCTAAAATAGTATAAATAGAAAGAGAATTTTTAGGGTAAGCCTTAATCCCGTTCATCTCCCTTCGGTGGGGTTGAATTTCGACACGTACAGTATATTATATAAAAGCACGCGCGTATTCGAATGCTGCGTTGTGTCAAAATTTCAAAGGAATTGGCAGGAACAAACGAACATTACATTTTAATTTATATAGACAGATAGAAGATGATCCGCTTTAGTTCATCCTGGCAGAAAGCAAACTTAGGGCGTCGTACTCGTAGCGCCATCTGTTGGACATAAAAGCCTTAACCCTAGATGATATCTTTTAATTTATACGAATGTTTACCGGAATAATATACAGCCTACGTCCACCCTCGAGTTCCATTGTAAATATTGGCGAAAGAATTTTTGAAATCGGACGAGTAGTTTCGGAGATTACCCCTACATACAAATTTACAAACATTACCTCTTTATAATATTAGTATAAATACCTGTATACGTGTTTTCTGTTTTTCTATATACGTAACCCCGCTAATCCGAACAACTCCGTACTAATTATTGTACGGATTTGGCAGATGTATTTAGTAGCTATTGTAAACACAACCGAATAGATGAATCGGACGGATAAGACGACCGGAATTGCAGGCGTTTCGGGCGCGGATGAAGAGGAATGCGTACCAAAATACTTTTTTTACGCGTGTTTCACGCCGGATACTTGAACCAAATATGCATTTTGATCTGATTAGTAACTAACGAGTAATATTTGTTGGGTTTTACAATCGAATGTTTTGTAAAAGTTTTTACGTAAACGCGGAGCATCGATGGCAATGTATAGTTACAAAGTGCGGATGATTTAATTACTGCCAGTCGATTTCAAAATCTATTCAAATTGCTTAAGACGAAGGTCGAAAGTCTGGCCATCGAGTGCCGAAACCCCAAAAACAGGAGTTTTGACGCGCCATCGAAAGACAGATTTATTTATTCTGTCTCGAGTTTTCCGCGGGCTACGTCACTTTCGTTCCGCCCATCCGCGGACGCTTACGGTGGTCCGTGGCGTCAGGACGGTCAGTGGCGTCGTATCTATTACGTAAATTCGCTCGGCCAGTTTCCCATTACGATAGTAACCGCGTGGACCAATCATTTACGCGGTTACAATCGTAATCGGAAACTTCTTTTCGTTAATTGGTAGCCGGTGGCTACGTGACCTTACCCCCGTAGGGGCCGCCCGTGGCGGCTCTCCGGGCCTTGGTCGGCCAGACGGTGGCTTCCCGTAGCGGTCCCGGCCGAAATCGTATAAACCCGCTAACGGAAGGAGAAGAATGACTAAATTACTTGGAAATCGAAGTAGAAAATACAATATTATCTCGTGCTGGAAATGTCGCCATTTTTTATTTTATTAATCTTACCGTACGCGGTGCTTTGTACCCATACGACTTTACAGTTACTACATATAGTGAGTACCTTACAGTTATTGCTTCTCGTTTACGGGTTTATACCGTATTTTGCTACTTTTTAAGGTTTTTCGTATATATTTTATACTAAACTACATTGCGTAAAATAATATAATCGGGAAGTTTTTTAAATTAGATATTACGAGTTTTCTGGTAAGGAGAATATTTAACCGTGGGAAAATATAAAAATGAAACGAAGCTACGGGATGGGTTATATTATAAAATTAATTGTACGGAACAATCCGGATTGACTATTTTATGCTGGAAGAACTTTTTCTAAATTTTAATTTTTACAATTTAAAATTATACAATTAATTTTATAACTAGAAAAATGAATAAAAGAATTAATAATGAGTCATTCGAGTGATATTTATAAATCCAATAATTTTAAACCGGTCTTCAAATCGATGGTTCAAATTCTAGCAATTTCGGCTCGAATCACCTTGGCAAAAGTCTTCCAACCGTTTAAAAAATGTTATTATTATTAATATAAATTCTATATTAATATAGTCGAATACGATTAAAAATAATTTACTATTTTCGTTTATAAAATTATTAAATAGTCGAAGCGATTTAAAAACTATTCTCGATCGTTTACCGTAGGAAGAGGCGTAATGCCAAGAAACACTTTTCAGTGGGGTAGTGCGATGTTTCTAAACTGGATAAAAACGCCCGTGCCAGTGGAAATCAGTTTTTACTGCACAGTTTCGAATATAAACACGTTTTATACGGAACTTATTAACCAAATAAGCTTAAGCTTACGTCCTCGTTCTATTCTCCAAGGCAGTTTGTACGCGTCGTTCATTATGATTTGGCGGAGAAAAGTGTAGGTAGCGTAACGTTGGACCCAACAGTCTAATTTCGGCTTTGGTCATAATATAATTTTTAAATATTAAAATAACGAAGGTTATAAATAATCCTCCAAAACCTTCGTCCGGGAGGTGGTTTATTTATTTTTAACTTTAGACGTAGTCTTTTCAAATCTTATTTGTAGAGGAAGGCCAACTAAAGATTAGACGCTTTGTAATTTATATTCCCAAGATAAGGGGAACGGACCTAAAAATTAATAAACAATCTTCGTAATTATTCCATAAGATTATTGGCAGAAATTTATTTCTACGGCGATTTGTGTTAATTTTAAAATATTTTCAAACGATGTATTGTGTTTTAGATTTCGCGCCACGGAGCCAGGACCCCAATTATTCTTTATCCGAACGATCCGAATAAAAATCACCGATACAAGGAAGGACTCGGACAATTAACAAACGTAACCTTTTCATACATCCTTTTAAACCAGGATAACTTAAATGATTTATAAAGATGCTTTCTAACAGACCGGCAAACTTCAACAGTACGCTTTGGGAAAGTATTTCAGGAAGCGTTACCATAATTTTATCACGTCCAACCCGAGAGAGGTAAGTGTTTCCAAGAGGTATTTTGCCGTCACTCCGCTGGATAAGGGTGGTTTTCTTTAATTATGCCTCGTAGGTGGTGGCTAGAAGTTCCGAGACGGACAGGACGATGGTGAGCGGGTTGTGCCATTTGTCCGGACTGTACGCGCCCTCCAAGGAATGGCGGTTTACCGAAGAAATAAACTGGCAACCGATTAAAATACTGACGTCGCCTCGGACAAAGGACAAAGTGAGTTTATGTACGACGAGATAAATAAGTTTATACGCTAGATACCTTATACCGTTTCGCTGTATCTTAAGTGTACCGTAAGTACGGCACGTTATAGGTGTTTTGATTTTGCGCTTTAGCTGTTATACTATAAATCCGAATGTCCGGAATCGGATGCGGAATACGATCGAATCTTTAACAGTCCGGAAGGAAAAGCCTACCGAAAACAACAGCCCGTAATAAATATTTAAGTTATATATTGTTATAATTTTTAAAATAAAACATCGAGTAACGTCGTATTTGTTTATCGTAGGACCTTCTCGATTACGTCAGCTATTACAGTGGACAAACCATCGACGATTGGAAAGACGCTCTTTACGTCATCGACGCGATTAAAATCGAAGTAAGGCTTTAGTTATTTAAAATCTAATTTAAATGGGTAAAACAATGGCGTTGATTTAAAACGCAATCGTTTACCGATTTAACATTTAAAAAAGTTAAAAATGACAGTAAAATTTTAATCGACGGAGGGGATAAGGCAAGACAAGGCAATGCTCGGAATATGTGTCGAGAAGGGATCCGCCTCCCGGAAAAACTCTTTATCGGCGAAATACGACGGACTTTAAGAACAATTGGCAGCCGATTGATTTTTTTTAAAACGGATGCATTCCTCGTGACTTTTGAAGCAAAAGTCCAAATTGGACATTTTTGGATTACTAAACGGTATTTGTACTTTAAAAAATAAAGGCGATTCTAGGCGTTAAAAATTATTTTTAAAAAAACTATTTACCGCCGTCATCTCCGTGGTCGGGGAAGGGTCTTAACGCCGACGGATAGGAACGAGTTTAAATAAACGTACGCGTATTAAATTCTCCGTTCCGCCAGCTGTAAGAAGTCTTATTTTCGGACCCATGGCGGTTTCGGCCGGTGAGGGACGGGGTTTTTATCATTTTACATTTCTCCGTAAGGCGTCGGCAGTTCCTTTGGCTTTAGGTCCGGCAAAAACTGCGGCATTATTGGTGGTAGCGAGAATTTCGATAGGAGGAATTCGAATACCGGACTAGGATTGTAATTATATTATCTGGATTAAAATTACTATTCTCCGATTACTTTGAAGGTAGAACGTGTGGCTATACGTAATAGTATAAAACGCCATAAATATAATTTAGTCGAAACGAAAACGGACGACGCGTACGAGAAACTTAAATTAAGCGCGAATACGGGATGACGTCGACGCATTTTTTGTTAAAGTTAAACCTATCGATAAATAAGACGAGTTAAAATTGGCGCCCGACAGCGAACGCCCTACCATCTTTACCCGTTCCTGGCCGGTACCAACTTTTAAGCGCCCTTTGTCCGGATTAAAGACGCGCTAAAACGCCAGAAAACCTACGGTAAGGCCCGCGTTTTTTCAATTTCCCCCGATATTTTTCATTAATACGTAACGTATTCGGCTACCGGCGAGGGTTGGACGTCGAACGGATTAATACGATAATACGGTATTCGGTGGCCGTAATAATTACCATTTCGTTTTCACGCAGAGGAGGAACGGCGCGGTCGTCCCCCATTGGGCCGTTCGAGTTTATCGACGATTGGAGAAAATATTCGACGATTTCTTCTATTTTTCTTACAAAAGCCTAAAGATGCAGAGACTTCGAGCGGGTAAAATAATCGATTTGGTTATTCTTGGCCAATTACCAACGTTTTAAAACTTTTCTCTCGCCGTATTTTAGGTCCTTTAATAGGCGATATAGTGGAACGTATGAAGGAAAAAGACGAAGGGAAATTAAACAACCTGACTAAAGTCTACGCCTATTTTACCGTAAGTGGCGCCTAACTTGTTCCGTAAGAATGCGATTGTTTCCTTTAATCGTAGGAACGTTTTACCAACAGCACGACGCCAACGTCGCCGCTCTCCTCGGCGCCTTGAAGATATTTAACGGGAAAGCGCCGCCCTTCGGCGCCACCGTTTTGGTGGAACTTCACAAATTCGGAGACTCTACTTGCGTTAAAGTGTTTTATTCCAATTCTTCTAGTCCCGAAAGAGACAAGCCGGACGTTCGTTCCATGAAGTTACCCGATTGCCCGTCGGAATGCTGTCCGTTACGCGCTTTTATAAACATTACTCGTCCTCTGGTACCCGTCGACTGGGAGAACGAATGTAAATTACCGATGGCCGGAAGGACCTCGGGTAATGCCTACTCTATTTTTTTTAATAGAATTCTGAAAATTAACCGTAAATAACTCGGAACGGTAATCGATCTTAAACGAAAAACGTTTACTAATTACAAAAATGTAAACGTTTTTGACTATTTCTTTTTCCTACAAAAGTTGCAAATACGGTATATTGATATTTTAAACTTATTTTTTAGGTTGCGAAGAATCTTTATGCTCCGGAAAATGGACGTATTATTTACTGTGGTTTGGCCTGGTAAATCGACTTTATTCGTTTTAGCGCAAATTTCGGGCGAAAGAATCTCTATTTTTACAGTTTTTAAAGATTATTTTCTATTCTGTGGCGATTAAATAAATTTCTTAAATTTTACGCTGGGATTAAAACGATTGTTCGTAATTTACCAATACTCTAAACGAACGCGTTTCTACTTGGAAAAGGCCTATTAAGAGGGCGCCCATCCGTTTTTCTTAATCTCGAAAGATTTATTATCTNCCGCCGGTTCTCCCGTACATCGTACTTTCATTCGACCATAGAGTGGTCTATTAACCGCTTTGGGGGGAAACTTTTCCACGGAAATAACGGGACTTTGGGTTGGCGTCGGAAGTTCTTATATAGTTAATCGGGCCTCCCGCCCCTAAGATTTTCGTATCCGATTTCGATTAGATTAAGGAAAGACGGACGACGGCGGTAATTTATAGGTCTACAATTTTTTTCGAATCGCGGTCCAATTACGGAAAAGTCTTTCGTCCGTCGTATCGCGTTTGCCTGCCTTAAAATTGCCGTTTTTTACTTATTTCGATATTATGGAAATGCCGTCTGGTCGAATCTCGGCGCAATGCCGAGAATAAAAATGATCGGGTTTGAAATGGACAAATTTCCCAGTGACCCGATAAGAAAAACGGAATGGGAAGTAGGGATAAAAACTGGAAAGAAAATCGGCGAATACGTTCCGATGAAAATGAATACGAAGTTACTAATATGGGCAAGTTCATAGGACCGATGCCCGCCACGTATCTTCCGGGGTATGGCCGATATATTTACGACTTGGTCGATATATTTAGAACCGCTCTCCGCGTTTTTACTATCCGGCGCTTCCGTAGAAATATCGCGCCTTCCGCGGGCTCGGGACTGGACGCAATTTTTAAAAATGTACTAAAAATTTCATTTTCATCAAATAGCTGGAAAATATCGCTTTTTTGTCGTTAAACGGTATAAACTTCCATCGGAGCCCGACTTTGCCACGTATTATAACCCCGTAGGACGAAAAGAGGGGTCGGCAAACCTCGAAATACCGTACTTCTGGCCAAGCGACAACGCCGGGAATTGGCGAACAAAATTGTCGAAGAAGTTTGCGGAATGCCAGACGAATTCGATGGTTGGAAAGCCGAGACACGGAGAAAACGAAACCACCCGGTTGGAAATGATTAACACAATGGAATGATCGGAAGGAATAAAATTCATTCGATTTACGAAAAATAGAGAGCGTGGTGGCGAAATAGATGGCAGTCCGTACGGCGAATAACGTTACGAAAACGGAAATAGGTGATTGGAGCGAAGACTCGGAGCTAATAACCGCCGGAGATCCATAGAAGACGAAGAGTGCTCTCCCGAAATAGAGAAGGTCGATACTGGGTTTGTACCAGAAGATTTGGCGTGGTTACCTTTAGTTGCCTCAATTTGACTTGTCGAATCATTACCAATCTGTTGTTATTATAGAAAGCGCGCGCTCAGACATAAACCTAATTATAAAAGAATTATTATAAAATATTTACCGAATTTGACGGTAATTATATCTGAACTTTGATTTCGTCAAACGTTCGATTTGAACGTTTCGACGAATCGGCTTTAAAAGATTTCGTCAAAATTCAAAACTAATTCTCGAAAAATAAACTGACGAAGTCGTAGAAGAAAACTCTTAGCGTGTTTCTACGCTTCGGAGGAGCTCTACGAGTTTCGAGTTCGAGGTAGCCGAACTTGGAAACGATTCTCGTTAAGGCTGTGTACACACTAGGCGTTTAGCAGAGCGTGCGCACTGGCTCGGTTTGGAAATAGATGTGGAAGTGATTGCTTGTGTGTGGCTCCTCTATCGTCGCTATAAAAGACGACGGCGGAGGCAAAGAAAATTTTGGGTGCACCCAATATTGCGAGATAGACTGACGCATGAAATGTTTGCGACCAAAACTAAGACAAAATAAATTCTTTTAAAATATCTATAAAATCCTTTGACCATGGTTGGTCTCTTTTAGATTTCATCAATAAATAGATCAGTATCGAAATGATCGTTCTCCGTTTCAGCGCATATATCTCAAAGCGCTCGGCTGACGCCCGCAAAACGCGCGATCGAATGTACGGTAACATGGCAGCACATATATCTCAAAGCGCTCGGCTGACGCCCGCAAAACGCGCGTTTTAACAAAAATCTATCAACGCGCGCTTGGCCAAAAGCGCGCGTTTGAGTGTGTACGCCTACGTAGAACTCTTGGTTCTTTAAAACGCGCGTTGAAAAACGCCTAGTGTGTACAGGCTGTAAGTGGCAGCCGCGCGATTGGCCAGGATGCGAAGAAATCGCTGGTGTCAAAAGTGGCGTTTGCTCTTTATCCGTATCGAATTCGTTGGCTAAACAGCGAATTCGGAGGCTCTGTCCAATCCATTTCTCGTACGTCCCGCGCATTTCCGCTTATATTAAGACCGCCTAACTATAGGAATTTTATTCCCACTCAAAAAAGCCAAATTAAAGTTTAAAAATTAAGCCTTCGTTTCTTATAAATTAAAAAGTACGATTTTTAATTATAATAATAATTAATTTCATTAAACGTAATACGTTAAATGATCCGTAATTTAATAAGAATTATTAAATTACGGTTTCGATATAATTTAGTTTCTTAATAATAAAAGATAATAGAATTCCCGAAATAATAACTGGTATCAAATTGTAAATTTATATTTTCGTGTTAAGTTAATTAGGTTAAAGTACATTAAGGCGTTAGAATTAAACGCATACGGAGGAAAAAATGGTAGAAAGTCGATTCCCGGACCTAATTACCTACGAAATAGATTCGCGTTTTATAAAAAGACGGAAGAAACCCGGCATTTATATTTCTAAAGTCATAAATTTAAAAACAAAATTATAGGCGTCGAAGGTAGAAATAATATAAAAATTAAACGCTTATATAGTACGAAAGAAATAACCGGTAATTATTTATTGCCACGCGGTGGCCATACCGGGCCGCAATTTTTAATCCATTTAATTTAAAATATACGCTGTCCGCGGCTTCTCCCGTACATCGTACTTTCATTCGACCATAGAGTCGTCTATTAACCGCTTTGGGGGGAAACTTTTCCACGGAAATAACGGGACTTTGGGTTGGCGTCGGAAGTTCTTATATAGTTAATCGGGCCTCCCGCCCCTAAGATTTTCGTATCCGATTTCGATTAGATTAAGGAAAGACGGACGACGGCGGTAATTTATAGGTCTACAATTTTTTTCGAATCGCGGTCCAATTACGGAAAAGTCTTTCGTCCGTCGTATCGCGTTTGCCTGCCTTAAAATTGCCGTTTTTTACTTATTTCGATATTATGGAAATGCCGTCTGGTCGAATCTCGGCGCAATGCCGAGAATAAAAATGATCGGGTTTGAAATGGACAAATTTCCCAGTGACCCGATAAGAAAAACGGAATGGGAAGTAGGGATAAAAACTGGAAAGAAAATCGGCGAATACGTTCCGATGAAAATGAATACGAAGTTACTAATATGGGCAAGTTCATAGGACCGATGCCCGCCACGTATCTTCCGGGGTATGGCCGATATATTTACGACTTGGTCGATATATTTAGAACCGCTCTCCGCGTTTTTACTATCCGGCGCTTCCGTAGAAATATCGCGCCTTCCGCGGGCTCGGGACTGGACGCAATTTTTAAAAATGTACTAAAAATTTCATTTTCATCAAATAGCTGGAAAATATCGCTTTTTTGTCGTTAAACGGTATAAACTTCCATCGGAGCCCGACTTTGCCACGTATTATAACCCCGTAGGACGAAAAGAGGGGTCGGCAAACCTCGAAATACCGTACTTCTGGCCAAGCGACAACGCCGGGAATTGGCGAACAAAATTGTCGAAGAAGTTTGCGGAATGCCAGACGAATTCGATGGTTGGAAAGCCGAGACACGGAGAAAACGAAACCACCCGGTTGGAAATGATTAACACAATGGAATGATCGGAAGGAATAAAATTCATTCGATTTACGAAAAATAGAGAGCGTGGTGGCGAAATAGATGGCAGTCCGTACGGCGAATAACGTTACGAAAACGGAAATAGGTGATTGGAGCGAAGACTCGGAGCTAATAACCGCCGGAGATCCATAGAAGACGAAGAGTGCTCTCCCGAAATAGAGAAGGTCGATAACGAAAAGAACGAAGTAAAAGATATTACCCGCGTCGAAATGGAAAATAGTGAAAAATCCTAGGAAGAGTCTTCTTTCGCATCGAACGAAATCTCTGTAAAAATTCGACAAGCTCGAATTTTAAACGGTCACTAAATCAGTTAGCGGGAAAATGTTACGGCTTTCCGAGTTTAAATTTGCAACGGCGAATGTAGAGGAAAGCGTTGGGATAAAGATTTCGGAGGTAGATGGGGCTAACCGGAATAATTCGGCTGGTATAATTTTTATTGAAAATGAAAACTTATCCACTAGAGGCGAAACGCGACGTTTGAAACCGGCGCTACCGGGAAACTTTTATTTGGCTTAATGAAGCTCCGGATATGGAAATAAGTCTAAAAGAATTCTAATTTAGGTGGTCGAACAGTTCGATATCGCCACCGTACGGTCGATTGTAACTCAAATCGCTGCAAATGTAAAAAGACAAAAACCCTTCGTAATTCCAAATGCCGTTCCTGCAGAAATAAATACAGTACAGTAATACCCCGAACTTAGGCGATAGGTGGGACCGAGCGATTACCGCCTAAGTCGGGGTGTAATTTCGCAATTTGTGTAAAATCCAAGTCGGATGTATGTAAGCTAATAAATGTTCTCGTTAATCTTATCCCGTCTTTTGATTCGTTCGCATACGAGCCAGAAATATACTTAGATATTCGATCATTTATTTTATTACGCTGGCCCTGCCAAAATTTCATTAGCGCGTTACCTCAAAAGTCTTACGTAGAAATTATTTATTCGCGTGTAATGAAACGAAATATTTCCCAAAAAAAGTTATAAAATGAGCGAGCTTATTATATAAGAGTGTATATACACTCTTATAAGCTTGCCCAATACAACCGATTATTTTATAACTTTTTGAATGAAACCAGCAAAAAAAATGGGATATTAATCGTATTGCGCGAATACCGCGATTGTGTTTAGCTACTTTGTTAAATAATTAACACACGGACAAGTTTCGAAATGTTGCTAACGCCTTATTCATTCGTCCCGTAATTAAGCCATGTGGAAGAAACGGCCGCGTCGATTGTCTTAAAGGGTTAAAGTAATTAGGCTACTGTATAACGGAGACGTCGGTCGAATTTCGATTTTCTGAGCAGAAAACCGTAAATGCGGAGACAAATATTTTATATTTATGTATTTCATCGAGTCCAATTGATGAATCGATCGATTAACTTCAACGTAGACATTATTTATATTTCACGTAATTGATAGAACAGTGACTAAATTATGTAATTATACTTTTAAGCGGTAGGCTCTCGAATATCCGGATTCGTCCGATATCGGGTGAAGCCAGTAAATTTTCCAAGAAACGGGAAGGCGTTGTTATTCGTGACAAACCGGACCCTTAAGCCATCCGCATCGTCCCCCTTCTACTAAGCGGATGACGGAGAAAAAGATTCGCCAGACTTAATGGCTTATTCGTAAGAATTTTTGGTTAACCCGCTCTTCGGATAATCGAGAGTCTATATTCTATTTTACGTGTAGATAATTGTTTAATTTTGGAATGTACGATTCGATATCGATTGAAAGAGGTTTAAACATCGCAAAACCCCGACTTATCTGGTATTTACAATCTACAATTGTGCAAATTACGGTATATTTATAACAATTTACAATTGTTATTAAAAACATTTGGCCTTATAAGGTTAAATACTTGAATTTGACCATTCGATGCAATGTACAGTACGTGTCATAAAATCGCGAGAGTTTAAAGAATTTATACCCGTATTTGCGTTTTTGTCGCTCTTTCGCTGGATTTTTTTCTAGAAAGTATACCGATTATAGAAGTGCCGACGGTTTAAAGTAGCGTAACGCCAGCGAATAACGACGAAAGATCGATTCGCACGTAAGTGACACGTCTCGTCGGTCCTTTCGTCGGTGTCGGCCATTAATAATAATGTTTCTTTGAATTTGGCCGAAGTACGCGCGTATGTCCGGCGTAGCGACGTTTTTTGTCATTAGGTGCGAGTCGAGTATCCGTAACGTGACGTTGCGCATCGTTACCAACGATATTTCTGCTATTTCACCCACTAACGAATCTGTAAGCTTAGCTGTACTAATTTCAAAAATTATAAAATACTAGCAGACCCCGCCACGCGTTGTTGTGGCTCAAAATGTATCTATTATAAATGTATAACATTTCTCCCGTGGGGGAGGGAATTTTTCGAAAAATCCCTTCTTAGTGTACATTCTCTCGACGTACCATATTAAAACGCGATCAAAAACGCAAAAAACCGCATCTAAAATAGTATAAATAGAAAGAGAATTTTTAGGGTAAGCCTTAATCCCGTTCATCTCCCTTCGGTGGGGTTGAATTTCGACACGTACAGTATATTATATAAAAGCACGCGCGTATTCGAATGCTGCGTTGTGTCAAAATTTCAAAGGAATTGGCAGGAACAAACGAACATTACATTTTAATTTATATAGACAGATAGAAGATGATCCGCTTTAGTTCATCCTGGCAGAAAGCAAACTTAGGGCGTCGTACTCGTAGCGCCATCTGTTGGACATAAAAGCCTTAACCCTAGATGATATCTTTTAATTTATACGAATGTTTACCGGAATAATATACAGCCTACGTCCACCCTCGAGTTCCATTGTAAATATTGGCGAAAGAATTTTTGAAATCGGACGAGTAGTTTCGGAGATTACCCCTACATACAAATTTACAAACATTACCTCTTTATAATATTAGTATNTGTACAGTATGTAAATTAGGTACCGTAAGTCTAATACAGCACTAATTTTATACATTTCTTGTGAAAGAAACACTTCTTATTTAACGTCCATAAAAATTATTTATATTAATGATGTCTCCAAAGTTCAACGAAGTTTTCGCAGAAAAATAACTTATCAGAAATCGCGGCCGCCGTTTCGTGTGCTATTCCGCGACGAAAACAAGCTCGAGCAACGGCGATGTCGAACGGCGCACACTCGGTAAGTAATCCTACAATTTTTTGTCTATAGTGTAGTTTATACGGATTATTTCCAAAAAATATATACGTATTTTGGAAATGTTGAGTCGGATTAGTCTAGAATCCATTAATTTTATGGAAGAAACCCTTTCAATCAGCCGCAGACAGTAAATGCGAGTAAGTCGAAACTTTTGTATTTATTTATTTATTAATTTTTCTCCCAGCTTCGACGCGTCTTAGATTAATATTCGTCGCCCTTTGGCTTCGATATATTTCTCGTTAATGTTCCAATAGGTCTTGTAGTTAATGTGTTGTGTTTTAACCGCGGAATGCCTCTATGGCGGAGGGTTATACTTTGCGTCTACGGAGAGTTGGGCTAAATGCGATATATTGAAGAAAAGACGCTTTAACCGTTTTAATTTCTCCTTTCCGTATATAAGAATAATATCCCCGTCTTATCCCGCGGGTGGGGCGAGACGGCGCCTTTGCGCGTAATTTTAAAATATTAAATTTTCTTAAAAACGTTTTTCAAAAATGAAATATTGTATTATATATTATCGAACGTCGTAGTTGCCGAGAATAAAAAAACGATCGTTGTCGAGTGGTTGTCGTCTTACGGCTTTTCCAACCTTAAAACGTTCTGGTCTCGCCCCGCCTTCCCCTACGTCGAAGGATCGAACGCTAGCAATTCTGTCATTCTGTGTACTGTACAAATGTACTCGCTGGATTAATTTACGGATTACTTACGGGCCCACCGGTGGCCGAGCGATCTTCGTTCCCCGAACGCTGGGAGTTCGATGGTGGGTTCGCGCCTGGTTCGGACGGGATGGCCGCGTGGCGTTTTTCGGGTTTTCTCCGCGTCCGTAACGCCTAAATAGGGGCCGGCGTCCCTTAAAAAGACCACCCGAAAAGCATTCCCTAGGCGCATCGCCCGAGCGTTGCGTTGCCATAGCCGAACGAACAGTTTTCTACTTACCACAAAACGTGGAAAACTTAGCCCGTTCGTAAGTAAATAATATATGTTTGAGGGTTACGAGAACCGAAGTTAGTGTTTTAATATTAAACCCAGTCGCGAAAGTAACAGAAATTGATAACTAATGGAAATGTTCGTTGTTAGATTTGCCGGGTTGTCGAAGCCAGGAACCGACATGGACGATTGGCGATAGAGTTCCTCCACACGACCGAGGAATAGAGTACGGCATTGTACCCCGTTTCCTCCTTCTCGATACCCGTGATAATTTATGGTCCCTGATCCCCGCCACGATAGTCCGACCTATCCGTTAATTGGATCGTTATTTTCTAATTTTGGAAGAAAATTAAAAAATAACGAATTTGATAGTTTAGAATCGACTGTTAATGATGTAGTGGCCAGTCGAACTACCCATCGAAGCCTCCGAGCGGGCTTTCGTCGTCTATAAACAGTGGTGTTTCGCTTTAAAAAAAGAAATTCCATCTTTGAATACGTAACTAAAGTAATTCAATTATTTACGAAAAATTTGGCCATTGGTTTCTTACCACAAAATCGGCGAAAACGTCCGAAAACGCATTCCGTCCCCGGAAAGAAGGGCGTTCCGGCCCCGACACAACCCGCTTATAAATCGATGTTACAAAGTTGGTGGGAAATGGAAACCAGCGTTGCAAATTTAGAGGTAGAGAATATTTGGTGGAAAATTTCGGAGCACCGAGTTGCGCGTAAATCAGAAATTGTTTTGTCTGTAATCCAACCACCGCTAAAACGTGACTTTCCGCAAATACGTACAATTCGGCCGGGCTAATGTCGCCACCCAGCCGGAGTTTTGATATTCGATCTACGGACCGAGATATTAAGGGTCGAAGTTTGCCGCGTAAGTCGCTTCGATGGGTAGAAAGGCCATGGCCACGTGTCGGTCCAGTTTACGACTGTCGTCAATTTACCAGGTCTGTTCAACAAAATACGCGGACCGACGTCGTAAAACAAAATGTACTGTATCTTATGTAGAAGTTACGTGTCTGGGTCCCCTTCGAAGTACTGTCCTTCCCAACGCGCGCGCTTATCCCAACAATGTTTCCACGCGTCGAAACAGTCCTAATACGCTTCTTTTGTAACGTCCTTCGGCGCCTCCGTCGCATTTGCCTTAATCTCGGGAATCGTCTCGAATCTTCTTCCTTTCGGGGTCTTTCGAACAACGAAAAGTGGCGAGGAGTCAGGTCGGGCGAGTAGGGGTGGGGGAAGAACGGCGATCGAGTGTTTGGCCAAAAACTCGCCAGTTCCGACGGCCGAATGGGTCGAAGCATTGTCGCCACGGAGAAACCGGTGGCCACTCCCCCGCATTTCTGGTCTTTTGCCACGGACGGCGTCCCTCGGACGTTTCGGAACTTCGACGCAGTAAGTTTGGTTGGCCGCGGAGCCTGGGGGAGACACTCGCGGCGAACAACACCCTTAGCATCAAAGAAAACTGTCGGCATCGGATCGAACTCGGCGAGCTTTTTTGGGTGCGGGGGACCGCTTCGAACGCGCCGTACGCTTCGTAGCCACATCACCGTAAGCCGTGTCGAGCGTAGCGAATGTTTCGGTGGCGGATTTTCCAGGTTTAACACAAAATTTCACAGAGTCGTTGCTCCATCGGGTCATTCGTTCCGAAATCCGACAAACGAAAAAAATCGCGCTTCAGTCAAAAGCGCCTAGCTAATCGGGAAACGGCTTTATCACCGGACGATGTGTACAAATGTAGCGACACCGAGTCGATTCCCCCGGAGCCAAATGAGCCGCGCGATTCAAACAGTCCGCGTATTTTTCGAACACACCTCGTACGTCGATGGCTACCGCAAGTTTTTACTTTAGATTAAACCTTTTTCTCGCGCAATTTTGGTTTTCTAAGTCTAATTTTTAATGGGAGAAGAACCGCCTTCTCTTATTATTCGTTTCTCAGGCATTTCTATGTATATTTGCTTCGTCCTCTAAGGAAAAATAAAAATATTTTTTAAAGAATCTTTCTACGCTTAAAATTTAGAAATGAAAGCATTTGTATAATTAAATTTATTGCTTAAATTACCAACGATTCCGTTTAACGACGTAACGATACAACAAACAGTTGGATCGAAATAGAAATTTTATGTTAATATGTACAGAACGCGTAAAAGTAGAGAGGTTCTAAGACGAAAAGTTGATGTACAAAGCAAATATATAAAATAATAAATCCAGTCGTATCCACCAGGCGCTAGTGTAACCTGTAAATAAAAGAAAAACATTTTTGTCAAGTTTCGGCCCAAAAACAATAAGACTGGTCGTTAAATGTGTACAACGACTAAACGCTAAGCGTACTTTACAATACTTTATATGTAAATTTAATTATTTATAGGCAATTCAAAATTTCGTTAATCGTGTTTTGTCCGTTCCGGTATATTTGCCAATACGAATCGGAGTAAATTGAGTTCATATCGGCACAAAATCGAAAGAAAATTGATAAAAAGTGAAAAATATGACCAGGCAATCTTTATAATGGTTAACTGATTTTTGGGCTACCTTAAACAAATATATTTTAATGTATATTTATACGTATAAATATTTTAATAAGTAAATACTGAATAAAGAAATTATAATATCTAAGACGTATATCAGCGTTTCTCAACCTCTAACGAATCGTCGCCCCCTTCAACGTAGTATCGCCCCCTTCAATAAAACCGTTACGTAGTATCGTCCCCTTCACTCCAAAATTCCGATGCCGAGGGCCAAGGCTAACGCCAAATTCATACTGCATCGAATAGACTAGTGACTAGTATAATGTTATTTGTTTGATTATTGTACGATATAACCAATAAAATATCTAATTATTCTTAATATAATGTTTTACTATATTGTTTATATAGTAAAACATTATATATATATATTAAAATTATATATTTGTATACAGTTGTATATATATATTAAAATTGTTTTTCGCCCCCAAAATATAAATTGTTACTAATCGCCCCCTCAACATGAAAAAACGCCCACACGGGGGCGATATCGCCCCCGTTGAGAAACACTGATCTATATTGTATATATTTTAGATATTGTAATTATTTCTCGCAATATTTAAATTTTCCACTTAATCTAACATATTGTATATTATATGGATAGGGGGCGATAATCTATATTAGTGAAATGTAAATCGTACACCATACTTATTTATAATTAGAAGGATATTTTTGATATATTTTGAATTACGTTTGTTTTATCAAAGTTTGTCCATTATTTCTTGTCATCCGTTATTTTTGAGATTAATTAACGCCATGGCGGCACACTTTTATCTTAAAGGTTTAATTTTAAATCTCGTATAAACATTTATTACGAGAAAGTAAATATATAGATGAGCCGAAAGAATAGAAAAAAATGCCGTAATTAAAGCTAAGAGAATTTATAAAACAACGAGACAATACGTATATAATGACAAAATTGCCAGCGCGGATTTCAATTAAAACAATTGTCGTATGGATAAGAGTGGAGCGATGTTAAAATTTTGCCAATCATTCCGACCGAAATAGAAATCATTAAGTAATTCCGTCGCGGGTATTCGACAATTAAGATTTCGGAATTTTAATAAATTACTCGAAGATCCAAAAACACTTATATAAACAGTTATTTTTTAGGCGTTATTAAAATAATCTACGTTAATACCTGAATTACTGGAATTTGACAGTCGACATTCTTTCTCCCAATCGACGGGTACCAGAGGACGAGTAATATCTGTAAAGGTGGGCAAGGGGCAGCAGTCCAATCCGCAATCGGGTAACGTCATTAAATGAACGCGTTGCTCCCCGCTTTCCGGATCGGTGGCGTTCGAATAAAATACTTTAACGCAAGAAGCATCTGGCATTTTGTGAAGTTCTATTAAAACGGTGGCGCAGAAGGGCGGGGCTCGCCCGTTAAATATCTTCAAGGCATTCAGGAGGACGGCGATGTTAGCGTCGTGCTGTTAATAAAAAGTGTATCAAAATGTTTTCTATGATTAAATTTTTATACAAGATGCGTACTGCTTACGGTAAAATAGGCGTAAACTTTAGTAAGATTATTTAACTTCCCTTCGTCTCTTTCCCGCATACGATCCACTATATCGCCTATTAAAGGACCTTAAAAAGACGACGATACAAAATGTTTATTCTTTACGTAAAATAAAACGTATAATGAAATCATTTTATTTTTACCTGCTCGGAGTCTTTGCATTTTTACGGTTCTAAAAGGATAATAGAAGAAGTCTTGCGTTATTTTCTCTAATTGCCGATAAACTCGGGGAGTGACCCAATGGGGCACGCTGGCGTCGTTACTCTCCTACGGAAATATAAAATTACCTCGATTACGGTAATTTCGCGCATTAACTTTTTTAAATATAAAATGTTTATATATGTCGAAGCTACGAAATATACGTCGTGGTTTTCCGTCGTTTACCGCACCAGCGATAGTCCTAAATAATTTTCACTTACGGACGACCTTTTACTTCGGACTGCGCCTCCGCAGAAATTAAAAAAAGTTTGACGATCGTGTGCCGTAATTCGTAATTCAATGCCGTAATTCGCGATACAATCGAGTTGTATCAAATTTCACTCCATTGTATTACCAACTACTTGCAAAAATTTTAGTTAAACAATGAAAAATATTAGTTAATTATTAAAAAAGCGTTACGTAGCAATTTCGATAGACCGAAGCTGGTTTGGAGGTTAAAAATAATTGTCTAGAAGTCCTCTTGTTTTAAGAGTAAGTACGATAAAAGTGAAATTGTGGAAAGCGTAGGCTACTTTGTCTTCCGAACTCGGCAGTCGGAGGTCTCGAATTTCGCTTACTTCCGAGTAAACTTGTCAAAAATGCAAAATTTCCCGAGAAATATTTTGAAAAATTGGATTCGCGTAATTTAATTCGGCTGGATGGCTAACGCGAACGCTCTCGTGGCGCCATTTTAACCGGTTATACACGCAAATATGTCGGCATATTTACCGATTTACGTTTCATTAAATATCCTAAAGCGTAAGTTAATAAAATTGGAATTTGACCGATTTCATGTTAATAAAATTGCGAATTGAATTTTTGTAATTTCGTCGAAAAATAGTCTGGGATCGAGATGCGCTTAACTAACAGCGATAAGAAGAATAACTGAAAACACTAAAACATTCCCTAATTATAATATTCAAGGATATCGAATCGTTGATCGGATATCGTCATTCGTTATTGTCTTTTTAATACTCGTATAATTTGTACTTTGTGCAAGTTCAAACATACATAAAACTAGATAATTTTCCATATAAATTTCTAAACAAACTCGGAAAATTGCAGCTTAATCGAGCTTTTTCGACATTAGTAGAAATCCTCGGCATTCGTTGGTTCTGTCGCCGACACGGTTATTATCCGAGACATTTTTATATACTATAAAATATTCGTAAAATCTTTATCGCTTTTCTCGCCATTGTCCGCCCCTATTTTGCGTAATGCGCCGTCGCTCGAGTAACAATTATTCGATTATCGAAATAACTATCGATTTCTAATCGCTCAATAATAACCGCTCGAGTATCCGAATCGTTCTATCGACATTAGCGACAGAAGAGGCAAATAGGGCACTGGCCCGCCACCCGGAATCGATTTATAATCATAAAAGAGACCGATAGCGTAAGGTTACGTATCTCGATTGGTTGGACTAATACAATATTGTACTGTAATCTACTTAAGAAAACAAACGCCCCAAAATTTATTGACGTAATTATTGGTCTCCCAGGCCGCGGTTGATACTACGGACAATAATGCCGATAAAATTTGACCGAGGCTGGCGTATATTTGATTATTTGAAGAAATTGGCGAATAGGTAACACTAAATTACGCGATATAAGTAATTTGCCCGAATAACGAAGAATATCTTACGTGGATTTTGATGGCGTCGAAGACCAAAAGAGCGCCCAGCCAATCGTCGACCATTATTCCGCTTCGGTGGCTAACGTACTGGAAAAGTTCCTGAAATAAAAAAGCCAACGGTTTCTTATGGTCGTCGTCGAATATTCCACACAAAATATCGTTTATAATTATTAATTACCTTATGTTGTTCTTTATAGACTTTTACACGGGGACTATTTTTAATTCTAGCCAGTTCGGCATCGGCTTCCGGACATTCGGCTCCCGCATACAACAACTAAGGCAAGAAATCAAAAACAGTTGTATTAATAACTGTTTAAGATTTATACGACATATTCCGCTAGAAAGCTTTGGCTGGTAAATATCTAGAAGCGTTACGTAAAATGAAATCCTACAATTTCGGCATGGACGTACGCCGAACAAAGGTTTTTACCTTTCTACCGAAATCCCGTCGCATTTCTCGCATTTACTTCGGCGAGTTCGATTATACGATTATCGAAAATACCAACGATTTCCGAATTATTTTCGGCGTTTAAATGTCGAAAATAATTCAGAAATCGTTCGTGTTTTTTAATTATATCGAAACTGTAATTTAGAGCGGATTACGAACTGTAGCGGAATGTGGCTGAACTGAACTAGGCAGACATCCATAGCGAGGAGAAAACCCGTTTTACTTCAGTTAAACGGTTATCCGCATTTAATCAGCAAATTTGTTTTTTTCGAAATTCGAAAGTTTTGAATGCTAAGTGAATTTAATTATTTTTAAAATATAAATCGTGTAGTTGTAGGTTCACTGGTGCATGTATTCCGTTCCAGAGACTTAGGGGTACATATTAATCTGTGTGATGTTCACATTTTTTAAATTTTGGTCTCGACAGACGTAAGTTAATTGGAGATGGCGATGCGTGAAATACGGACCCCATCGGTGCTTTTACAGTAAGATGGAACTCGACTCCTCCGAACTTTCTATTTGCAATCAGACATTCGTCCGGAGCAATTTGTGAAAAAGACACTAGGTAGAAAGCTAATTCTTCCGGAGAATATCGAAAAAGAGCTGCTGGAATACATATTGTTGATGGAGGTCATATTTTTCTATTATAAAAGCATTTTTGCGATAAAATACATTGGAGTAAATAATTTGGTAATTATTTAACATTTTTTGTCCTTTCCTATTTGTTTTGGCTACATAAAAGCACTTTTTTGGAAATATACAGTAAGGTTCCATATTACCACCCGATTTTCTCTAAGCCTACTTTCGGACTTTTTGTACAAAAGCCTTCAAAAACCATACTTATAATTACACTAGCGAAAATTCCAATTAGGAACATTTAGTTTAATAGTTACCAGTACTTTTCGCACAAAAAATGTGGGTGTAGTTACGATACCTTGTTTACAATTCACTAAAATGTAATTGGGATTCCATAATACCACCTTCTCCTCTAATATTTTCAAATATTTATTGATAAAAAAAAACTACGCGCTAACCAGGAGGCATTGGAATAGAACGAAATTTCATTAGTGGAAATAGTCGACTAAGATAGCGTAGCGAAGAAAACTATTTTTCGTACAATAGCGCAGTTTTAGACACGGATAAACGCGCGCTTCCGGTATTCGACCGTATCACACCGGACCCTCTTGCCGGGATACGCGAGGCGATACGGTTTGGTACGATCGAATGCCGCGGACGTTGCCACTGCGGCGCCGGATCTCTCGTACTCTTAACGGGCACGCGCGGAAATTGGAAAACGCGGGTTGGTCGCCAGCCTCTTCCGGCGTTTTTAAAGACGGTAGGGTGGCGCTCTAGCATCACCCGGTGCGCCATCGGCCGCAACTAATTATTTTAATTAAGTAATTCTGTCTCCGTGCTTAACTTTTTGTCACAGATTGTTTCTTTCGAATTTATTTAATACATTGCGCCGCGTGAAGTAATATAACGCATTACGCCGCTACTCGGACTACCGTTTAATGCGCGGCGTTAAATGGTAGTCGGAAAAAGTTGGAAGAATTCGCTCTGAGAATCTAATAAATCCTCTTTTCTATTAATAACCGATAAACTTAATAACAGAAGTCTTATTAAACTCACTTTGTCCTTTGTCCGAGGCGACGTCAGTATTTTAATCGGTTGCCAGTTTATTTCTTCGGTAAACCGCCATTCCTTGGAGGGCGCGTACAGTCCGGACAAATGGCACAACCCGCTGGTGATTGTTCTGTCCGTCTGGGAACTTCTAGCCACTACCTACGAGGCGTAATTAAAGAAAATCACCCTTATCCAGCGGAGTGGCGGCGAAATACCTCTTGGAAACACTTACCTCTCTCGGGTTGGACGTGATAAAATTATGGTAACGCTTCCTGAAATACTTTCCCAGAGCGTACTGTTGAAGTTTGCCGGTCTATTAGAAAGCATCTTTATAAATCATTTAAATTATCCTGGTTTAAAAGGACGTATGAAAAGGTTACGTTTGTTAATTGTCCGAGTCCTTCTTTGTATCGGTGATTTTTATTCGGATCGTTCGGATAAAGAATAATTGGGGTTCTGGCTCCGTGGCGCGAAATCTAAAACACAATGCATGGTAAAGTAACGACGACATTTTAATTTTACAAACAATTATTTCGTGATTAAATCGTTCTGGAACTTTAGTAACTTTTATTTTAAAATATACGTTATAAAAACTGTAGAATATTTTGCATAACTTGTTTATTGTTTCGTAAAAAAATATCTATCGCTCTACTAAACTGCGACGAGTAACTTACGAGTTAATAAAACCATATATTAAATTTAATTCGCATAAACTTTTAAATATATATTTTAAAAAGTACACATTATTAATATGTAAATTTATTTATTTAGATATTTTTACACTTACTTTTTAAGTGTAAAAATATCATCGCGCGTTAATACGACTAAATTGATGCGTTTGTTAAAAGATTCTCCAATGTATTATTTTATAAAATAAGACGAAAATACCGTACGAATGTTTCATCGAGAAGCAACAACGAAAAGATACTCACTATGTAAAGTAACTGTAAAGTCGTATCGTCGATAGGAGGAACATTTTCCTGGCACAATAGGGATCCGAATAAGGTTAAGATAATATAAAATGACGACATTTTCTCCGCCGGACGATATTCTACTTTCTACGTTCATTTCCAAACTATTTAAATGGTGAAAGGCGCGTTACGATTGGTCCGCGTCATCGGTGATCCGCCGAGTGTTTCGCGCATATATTACTAATAATAGCCGCAAATGCCGACTATCTGTAGTTAATTATATTTTTAATCACAGATGCCATCTCGAAAATATAATTTTAATTCCTTTAAAACGATATCCCAAAAAACACTGTAAGAAACGTAGATAATTCAAAACTGCTTTTTATTTATTTATTTATTTTTTGCGCCAATCGAAAGCCATTTTAATTTATTTTTATAGATTAAATTATGGTACAAAAAATGAGAGGAAGCGTAAATTAATATTTTCCAACGATATAAAACATATGCCAAATGATTTTGATATAAAAACCGCTTAATAATGTAAAATAATACGGTGATAAATAAATGTGTATTACATTTATTTATCGACCTTTAACTGTTTAGTTAAAGGTTTAAAGGCGGAAATACTAGATAGAAAATACATAGGTTTTAATGAAGTATTTTTTATTTATTTAAAAACGTACAAAATTATTTTAAATGTTTTACGAAAGGACATTATACGCGAAATATTTCTTTCTTACGAAAAATTGTTTTATTTTTCGTTTTTGCTTTGTCAGAAAAATATGCATTTCGTCATACCGTGTGAGAGTGATGAAACGAATATTTCTCTTTTTTATCAATACCTACGAGTTTAAAATTATCAAATACGCACGAATATAATGATATATTAACGCCAGTGCCATTATAAGTTATAAATACCACGGTATATGTATTCGACGCTGGCGTGTAGGCTCCGTTAAGACAGGTTTTACTCTATATACGTATACAACTGGCTCTATATGTATCTTTAGAGGCGGCGGAGAATAAGTTTACGCATATTGTTTCTTTTGTTCATAAATCTAAACAAGTTTACTTACGTATAAAACATTTAGGCATTCTAGGATTTAAAAAGTTTTAATCGAATAAATAACAATGATAATGTCGTATACTGTATTCGTTCCTTGCTGGGTGACACTCGTCTACAAATTCTGACTTTTGCCACACTTCCCACGGCCACTCGTAACGCGCGTCACCCGCGTTTTGAACGCGTTGGAGGAGCGACGCGTCGCGAATTCGATACGTGAATGATCTGACGGAAAGAGTCGGTATGCGGCGACGCGCTACGCGGGCCATCTGCCGAGGTAGAAATGCCTCCCGGGACGTCTTTTATGGGAAACTCGGTGGCGTAGCGTAGTGGGGGCGGCGAAATTTCGTAAATAATAATAATATCTTGTAAAAATTTGAACCATTTCATTTCATATTTTTGTCGCACCTAGTCCGGTTTTCGCCCGGACAGTCCGGGAATCGACTCACGGTCCGGGCGAACTATTAATTTTGTCCGGGAATATCGTGCGCAACCTGTCGATTTTTTTTTGCTTGTACGATTCGTATTCCTACACGTCTCCAATATTCGATAGGGCTAGGTCATCTGTAGTTGTTTTTTCTTAATTTAGTTACTTACGTTACTCCTACCCGAGTCTCCCTAGTCCCTAAGTGTAACTCATTAGAACCGCCATGCGCTGCGCCTTATTCTTCGCGTCGCAAAATGACATACGCGTGCGTCAGGAACTTCCGTTCGAACAAACCTCACCCGTCGTCCGGGTCGGCGATTTTGAAAAGGTGGCGACACTAGCACGGATTTTTTCATTACTTATTCTGTGACGAAACTGAATTTTAGTCTTTTAAATTGAGATACCTAAATAAGGGGGGCGAAATTTTCCTGCGCCCCGGGCGGCTGACACCCACGCTACGCCGCTGGGGAAACTGGCCCCTTTTAGATGAAGAAAAGCGCTGGCCAGTCCGTCGGCCGGGCGCGAATCCGCCACCAGTGGTGTTATTTACTTCGCCACCGGCGAGCTTAAACGAAAACGAAAATGCTTTCGTGAAGGAAAGTTTGTAAATTTCCCATAATGCTGTACTAGCCTGGCTTAGAACCGATACTATTTCGTGAATTTGGCAAGAATACAGTCGACCCCCGTATAAGATCATTGATTATTCCGTTTTATATGAATTCCATGTTGTACGAGTCACTTTAATTTTACAAATATGTGTACCGGGCTGTGAACGGCTCACGTATTTGTAAAATTTAAGTGACTCGTACAACATGGAATTCATATAAAACGGAATAATCAATGATCTTATACGGGGGTCGACTTGTATTGTCAAATTACGCAAATTTATTTCACGAAACGAGCAATATTCTCGGATTCGGCGTAACACGTGTTAAAACCGTAAAAAAGAAGTTATTAGCCTACTTTCCCTGCTCTGTTATATATAACAGAAGGAAAGTACGGCTATCGGTCAAAAAATGATCGCCAGATTTTTACATTTTTGGACTTAGCACGCCTCGAGACGTCGAGAAATGATAAGCAAAAGAAACTTTAGGAGTAATTTCTATACGTATAGATGTTAGTGCGTGNAAAGATTTTATGTGGTTTTTTATCTTTAAAAAACGTCGACACATTTCTTTAAACGTTTTAATGAACGTATTTTTTTGTTCTATAATTTTAACACTTTTTTGTATACGTTTTTATAAACGTTTTACACTTCTTTACATAAATTTATGAGAATATTTTTATACATTTTTGCTTACATTTCTGCGAGCTCTTTTGCATATTACTCTCTCGACTGTTATAACAGAGGAAAAGTATGGCCATAGGTTCAAAAAATGACTCTCCCTTCTCAACATTATTACAATTTTGGATTCAGACGACCTTAAAACGTCGAAAAATGCAAATAAATTCGGGTATTTTTCTGCATCTGTGGATGTTAGTATGTGTATGTATGCGGAGCACGATTTTGTTCACCTTTTTTGAAGCTTAATAACTTCTGTGCCTTTTATCGAAAATTCTTGAAATTTTGCAGAGAGGTTTGTGTATTAAAAAAGTTGATGCTGTTAAATTTTGGTGGTTAAAGGTCGAAGGGTTGGGGAGATAAAGAGTGTCGTATCTCGAATAGGGTAGGACTTAATGACGATTTTACTTGTTATTAGTATTTATAAATGTTTAAATAAAACTCCTGTCTATCGTCAAAATTAAGCATTTTAACGTTTTATAATAATTAATTATATAAACGGTTTTTAAAATAAACTATCGTAACAGATGGCGCCCCCAAAAGTTGCCGGGAAAGTTAAGCAACTGGTTAACGGTTTATTAAAACGATAATAAGACAACGACAGCCGCTATACTGTTGTTTTGCCGTATTACAAATGATGATAATCCATTCTAACCCAGCTTCTACTTTAACTAAATATAAAAAACACCTTACCACTGGGGTATTTAAATATCTTTACTAAACGTTTTTTCGGTTTTATTTACCAGCCCTCCATTGCTTAATTATGTAGTAAATTTTGTAGATATTAATTAGTATGTCCCGGGGATCCCGATATTAATTAGCGCTAGAACCTCGAATATGTTAATTTCTCGCTATTATTTAATATAGCCAATAAAGAATCCTTTTAATTAATCTAATGGTGAATATAGACTTTTAAACAGTAATTTTCGCATCTAAAATGGTTTGAAATATCGCGCTAGAATAAAAAAAAATGATTATTTATCGTGTTTTCGGACAGTTAAATTAGTGTTAAGTTATAATGACGCGACCTTCAGAAACAGTGGGGTCATAATTTCCTACAAACGAGTCATAATCTCGGCATGCGCGTCACGTTTAGTGAAAAATGGATACGGTATGAGACTTAATAACCCGTGATAATTGTCGCCGGGACACTGTACAAGAGAATTTCTCGACTGTCTTACAAAAAGTAATAACTTTAAATAAGCGAATAATTTCAAAAATTTATTTGTAAAATTTACATTAGTAATACGAAATAATAGTAAAATATATATTCCATTTAATGAGTATTTACACAAAAATTATCTGATAAAATAAAAAATGCGTGTCGTTGCTCTAAAATAAGTAAAACTGATTTACGAAGCAAACGAATATAAAATAAATCCATTTCGTCGTCCAACTCGATTTAGAGGAACCTGAAAAACAAATACTATAAAAATAAGGAAAAAGTAAAACAAAATGGCCGACAGAGTTTAAACTAATAATGCAGGCACTAAAAAAGATATATAAACATTAATTATGCTTATATATTTTGGGAAATTTTAAAACTTTTAAAGAACATATTTTACCGGCGTTTTATATACCGAAAATTGTGGAAATTAATAAATTCGGATTACAGAAAATTTCCAAACACTTACCAATACTCATAATTAAAGAGAATGTTTAAGAATTTTTTAAAAAATCAATTATTTGTCGATATATCAATATAACAAAAGTTTCTACAATTTAACAAAACCTACCGTTGTCAGCCCTCATTATTCAAAAGTTTTTTACTCCGTGTTACCTGAAAATAACTCCGTGTTAAATTTAATCAAAATAATAATATAATTTATATAATAATCGTATCGGTTAATGTTACCTATGGTTCCAAAATGGCGGAACTTCCGGCAATCTCCATTCGGGGCATTTTGTGGAATAGTTGACGGAGGGAGTATCTGATACAACGCGTGACGAAATATGCAAATTCGTTGAACGAGCCGTAAAATGTGTTTGCGCGTAAATATGCAAATTATTAGATATGACATCGTGGACGCATGTTTCTCGTGGAAATATGCAAATTAATAGTTAGGGAGACGTTGCCAAGGTTTGTCGTTGCGTGTTTTGCGTACTCTACCATAGTTTTCTCTGTACTATTTTTATGCAAACAAGTTATTTAGGTAAAATCTACTCTTAAAGTTTTTTTTTTATTAAATATTACGATAATTGTTGTTAATTTTTTGTTTGACGGTAATACAGCGATAACGAGTCTTGTAGACATCAATTCCGACGAATTTTGGTCCGGTCGTACACCCGCAAATTTTACCAGTTAATGGACAGAAATTGCTTCGTTTGTCGAGTGAATGACGGATCCGAAACCACCCTAAATTGGGTTGTGTCCAAATTTGTAAATTGTGGTAGTCTGATTATCACCGATGAATGGAAGGGATATAATCGCATCGACGATATTGAACGTAGAACAGTCGATCATTCAAAAAAAACTTTGTAAACCCCAAAACGGGTGATCGTACTCAAAACATCGAAAGGTTATGGGGTTATTTAAAAAATAAAGAAAACCTGCCAAATCATTACACGAATGATCTGTCGGACTGCTACATTTGTTTATGTATAAGAAGTTCACGAATCGGCTCGCTAGAGAACCAGGAGAAAGAAGACTTCAAATATTTGTAAAACACTGGAGTATGATATATCCAAGTACCGGAAGAATACCGAAATGGCTGGAACCAGAGTGTGTTCCCGCCGCACCAGTTTCTAATATTAAAAAGAAGGAAACGCGGGAAAGAGGAAAAAGGAGAAGACGGCAAAGAAATTGACTAATAAGACAAAGAAAAGAACGTCAACGAGTGCGGAGGAATCGACTACGTCCGGGAAGAAACGTAGGAAAGAAAAAAAAGGATCACTAACGTGAGTAATATTTTTATAAATTTACTAGAATAAGTTATTTTAGTTTAGGAGGCGCGTCCTCTCCGTTCAAAACATCGGTTATCGCGCAATATCCACTATAGTTCAAAATAGCAACCGGAAATTCCGCCATTTTGAAACCGTAGATAACATTAACCGTAAGATCTTACCTGAATCGTCCTCTGTCTGCAGTTGACATTCTTTCTCCCAATCGACGGGTACGAGATCTCGAGTAATAGCTACGAAAGTGTCCAATGGGCAGCACGCCAATCCGCAATCGGGTAACGTCATTAAATGAACGCGTTGCTCCCCGCTTTCCGGATTGGTAGCATTCGAATAAAATACTTTAACGCAAGAAGTATCTTGGATTTTATGAAATTCTACTACAATGGCTGCGCAGAAGGGCGGGGCTCGCCCGTTAAATATCTTCAAGGCATTCAGGAGGGCGGCGATGTTAGCGTCGTGCTGTGGACAAAATTGTTATGGGTTTTGGACCACCGTCCTGTATAATTACTGAATAATTATAAAATGATAAACTACTTACGGTAAAATAGGCATAAACCTTGGTAAGATTATTTAATTGTCCCGTGTTTCTTTCTTGCATATGATTGGTCATGTCACCAATTAAAACGCCTTTAGAAAAGTTTTTAAAAATTTTTATTTCGTGATTAACAATGTAATAATTTTAATCGAGTTTTTCGGGAATTTACCTGCTCGAAGTCTTTGTACTTTCGTAGTTTTATAACTATAATAGAACGAATCGTGGAATATTTCCTGTAGTTTTTGATAAACTTCATCCGTAACCCAATCGGGAATTATCAAATTGTGGCTTTTCTGCACGAAAATAATATATTATTGTTTTTATAACTTATATATTCGACTTTTTATTATTTTGATGTATAATTTTGCTACTAACGAAGTTAATAATCGACAGATAGGTCGATTAATAGGAGTAATACGTTATTCCGTCAAAACGTCGTAACGTGTAATTGGTGGCAGTCTACCCACAAATTTCCGAATGGCCATTTTCGACAGGTTTTTGCGGCGGTCATCCAATGGATAAAACCACTGGATACCGGTCGCGGGTTCCGCACCATAAAATCTTTATTCTATTTATTTCGAGAGACAAAACGATCTTGCTATTCCGTTCGTACAGCTACCAAATTTTTGTCTTATAATGGTGTAAAATTTTCTTTATTTAGAATTTTAAATGTGAGCTGTAGCTAATAAATGCTCGAGATTTGGTGTTTCTCGAATCCCCTCATCCCGTTTTAGGGTTTGGAAGATTCGAGTCCGCGCCGATTCAAAAACTTATTTGATTTGAAAAATTAAAAAAAAAACAATAACGTAATTTAATGGTAAATAATTTTCATTTGCAAATCAATTTTAATTGGCGGAAATTTAATTCGTACTCCATTTATAACATATATAAATAAAGATTCCCTCGCTTAAATGCCATACGAGAACTAAGAAAGAAGACCCTAAAGTTATCCTTGGCTTAAATAGACGGGACTAAATTCAGATTTAACACGGGATATATCGATTGATCACGTCATAACTAGCGAAAAGTTTGCAGTCGACTGCCATCTTGGAACGATGTATCTATTTCGACGTCTCATCGTCATCGATAATGCACACGATTCGAATTTCTGTTATCAGCGAATGGAATATTGAGTTTTCCAGGATTTCCTCCGTAGGAAGTCCTTCCGGAAAGCATCGCCCCTCGACACATCGCTCGCGTGTTTCGTTGCCTTAGCCCACTAAACCAAACCGTTAACTAAATTTTAGTCCCGAACAATGAAATGTTCGTGAAAGTGTTCAAACACAGAAAGAAAATACATAACACCGTAATATTTCATCAGATAATACTATAAAAACGTACGCGTGAATTCTGCCTGGCGCCTGCCTATGGCGGGTTTAAAATAAACACTTTAAATCGCGTAATAGAAAAGAAGGGCTTTACCTCAATCTTCAGTGTGGAGAAAATGTCGGCGGCAGTTTCCCAATCATCGACGGTCATTCCACTATGATTGGTAACATAATTGAAAAGCTCCTAAAACAATAGATAAATAAAATACTAGTCGATGGTTATTGAAAAAATTAAAGAGAAAAAATAATTAATTACGGTGAATTGACTTCTGTAAGCTTCTCCTTCCGGACTGTTTCTGATTCTATGTTGTTCGGCTTTGGCTTCTGGGCATACGGCCCCTTCGTACAATAGCTAAAATAGAAATTAATTATATTTAGCCAACATCGAACAGTTAATTGATTACAACCTTTGCTAAAAAATTAGTCTTGTTCCATGCGCAAATTACAGCACTTTCGTGGGTTGATTGTCTTAAAAAAATTGTTAAATTGTATGCAAAAATGCGATTAACTGACCTTTTGGGCTACTCTGGCTTTTATTATATGAGCCGTTTCACGGGGCAAATCGATTAACTGTTTTTAAATCCTTTGTATAATCGTTATTATTTTATTTAAATTTAAAGTTTAAAAATGTTTTAAAATAATTTATATTATGAATTTCTCTGCTTTTGTTTTGGGGAGTTAATCGATTTGGTAAATGAAAGGATCATTTGAATTTTCCATAAAAAATTACTGCTGAAGCAAACCTTAAACATTGATTAAAAACGCGTGAAAGCTGCGTGAATGATAATGCGTTGCGGGTTCGTATACTTCTTTGTAGAATGATGATTTACAGACAAACTGATAAAATTTTCTTGTATAAAAATTTGTTTATCTTAAACTTACTCCATCCGTCTTAGGCGGTGATGTCAGTATTCTAATAGGCTGCCAATTTAACTCCTCACTAAATTGCCACTCTTCCTTAGGTGCGTAGAGTCCGGCCAAATGGCATAATCCGCTAATAATTGTTCTATCCTTCTGGGAACTTCTAGCCACCAGCTAGAATATCATTTTATATTTGCAATGTTAAATAAATAAATAATAATAGCATCGTTTATTAAAGTTATAAATGCCTTACAGAATACATACTTCTCTGGGATTCGACGATATGTAATTGGCATAACGCTCTCTGAAATATTTTCCCAGTGTATACTGTTGAAGCTTTCCTGTCTGTTAAATATAATTACAACAACATAAGTCTTATAACTTACAATAATATTTAAATTTATATTATTAAGATTACGTTTGTTAGTTGTCCATTTCCTTCTTTATATTCGTAATTTACGTTTGGATCATTGGGGTATAGCGAAATAGGGGTTCTGGCTCCGTGGCGCACTATCTAATTTGCAAATTAAAATAATAATATTTTACATTTAAATATTAAAAAATATATACAAAAGGTTTATAATAGAGAAATCTTTGGCTTGCCGGAACAAATTGGTAGAGTAAATTGTAATAGTTCGGAGATACAAAAAGAATGGTGGAGAAGATAGGTAACGAGATCAAGACCGAGAAAAAGATGGAGAGGGACGATTGAGTTAAATCTACGCAGAGGAGGAATTAACTCCAAGACTGTGGAGAGTGAAGAAAGAAAGGAGATGAAAAATCAAAGATCCAACTTTAATGTTTATGTTGATGCCAGTCCAACATATATATTAAAGTATTACTTGGAATTACGAAAGAATATTTTCAAACTGGTGAAACCGAACACTTAATCAACAATCACAAATTTATGCTGTAGATTTTGACTTCTTTATGCAAGAATGTTTTGTTAGAGGAATAACAATTGTATGAGCATGCTTTTATGTTTATATCAAAGTAATGTAGATGTAGGAGCAATGCCTAAGGAATAATAATAATTTAAATAACAATACGCTAAATAAAATATCATTATAACAGAAATAAATTTTCCAACGTGTATTAGGTAGTCAATTATACAGTAATATATTTGTTGGAAAGTAGCGCCAGCTAAGAGTAAGAAAAATAGAATGGTGACAAAATATCCTTGCATATATTTCTGATAAAAAAAATTTTAATTTCTCGAATTATTTCAAATTAAATTTTTGAAAAATTTCAATAACTAGAGAATAAAACAATCAGAATAATTAGATAAAAAATTGAATAAAAATTTAAAAATAAATTAATATATTAAATTCAAATATTACACATATTTATAATCGAAAAATAGTAATAACGAAAAGGAACTCACTATATGAAGTAATTGTAAAGAAGCCGTGTGGTCAACGGGAGGAACATCTTCCTGGCACAATAGGGAACCGAATAAGGTTAAGATAATATAAAATGGCAACATTTCATCTACCAGATAAAATATTATATTCTCTATTAATTTTCTTAGCCGCTTAGGCTTTTATATAAGTGAAAGGCTCCTTACGATTGGTCCGTGCCACCAATACCATAATTGGAAACTTGCCAAGCACTTTTATAATAATATAACTACCTGTTACTTCTGGTTGCAATCAGTTTATATTATTTATTAAACTAGTAAATTCGTTGGAGAAAACGATTATAAATCGTAAAAATAATTATTTTCTGAAATTCAAATGATATTTTTTAATAAAATAAAGTATATTATTCCTGTTCCGTGCCCCTCTTCTTCCCACGCAAGAGGCACTAACCTTGACATAGACGTGGCTTACATTTCTCCCTACAATTTACCAATGNTTTTTCGCAACTGTAATTTGTAAATTATTATAAATTATCATGGGATAAAATTCCGAGTATACTTTCTAACAGTACTCGGTGGGAAACGTTGGGTAACGTTGTCTAGAATAAGGTGACTGGTAGTCCCTTTGTCCGCCCGCTAGGATGGAAGTTGGCGTAAGCCAATCGTGTTACGAAAAAATAAAAGGATAAAATTTAGATTGTCTCTTATCTTACCGGCAAGATCTTATCGATGGATGGGAGCCGAATTTACGTATGGAGCTAAATATAGTAGTTTAATGAATGGCCTACTAAAAGTTTGTTGTTTGATGAAGAAAGAAGTCTTTCTAGATTATAGTTTAGAGCCACCAGTTAAAACCGGCGCTAGGATGGAGAGGAAATTAGAGGGATAACGTTGGGAGGCAGAAAGAATTGGAAGACCATCTCGTTTGCAGTAACAGCCTTAAAGGCTGGTAATGCGGAAGATTGTGTTATAAATTATGGAATAATGATAAATATTTATTTCCTAATGTTAAAAAGTTCATAGTACGGGTAATCCATACTGCTTCGATAATCTTATATAGTACAGGAACCGATTAAAAATACTCGGAAAATATATATGTGTGAAAACCCCTTGTATCAATTAAATACGTCATTGACGGTCACCTACCTTTTAAGTCGATTTAGAAGTTATAAAGATTAGAAATTATATAACAACATTATTTATGGATAAATATACATATTTCAATGTTATTTTTTTAAAATATATTTTATCTATTTAATTTTTTCTTTAAAAAAGCCCGATAGTACATGAAAAACATTTGAATGCGACAAATGCGCTTATATACCATGCAATATCTAAAAGTTCTACGGCGGTAGTGGCTACATTGGTGACGGTACAGGGTGAATGTAGGTTTGTATGTTCTAACGAAGGCCCTAAGTCTTACATCAATAATAAATTCTACAAGTGCCTTTTTTATCCTTAATAATCTAGAATTTCATATTTTAACTTTTGATAAGAATAATTAAGATCGAGAGTTAATTTTCCATAGGCTTAATGTTATAAACCAGGTTCCTATTGTTGAAAATTGAATGACCTTAAATACGGCTTTTCTTACGGTTAAAGTAATGTATTTGTACATTTAGAGCTAAAATTAGGTGAATTTTCCATTTAAAATGCGCAACTCTAATATTAATTTAGCAGAACTACTTAAAATGGAGGCGTGAGAAAAGGGAAATTAGCAAATAGGGACCCGACCCTTTCCAAAAGCCATAAAAATACACCAGTTTTTTCATACTTTATCATATTTCCTACTAAATTTTGGGGCTCTTATATACATCTATTTAAAACAATAAATACAACTTTCGAGACAAAAAACCACTACGTGCAATACGTAAGATAATTTTAATAGTTTTGTTGGAATCAATAAAAGAAAAAATATTTCTCTATAAATCTACAAAATAAAGTTACTATGGATACAATTGAAAAATATAAGATATTATCTACTATTGTGTCAAAAAATATGAATGCTACCTTATAAATAAATTAGTTTTTCACGTATCAACGCCACAATAGCGTATGACATAAAAGATATATATTATGATTTGTCATTATAATAATAAATCTTCTGGGAATTAGTTCTAGATACGGACAAAAAGAATGATTATTATTTAATTTTCTCTATATTTTTTTTTAAATAAATTTAATTTTTAAAATATTTTTTTATAATNTATATACCATGCAATATCTAAAAGTTCTACGGCGGTAGTGGCTACATTGGTGACGGTACAGGGTGAATGTAGGTTTGTATGTTCTAACGAAGGCCCTAAGTCTTACTCGAACGACGACTCGACAGAGCACTCGCTAACAGTTCCGGTGGTAAAATACGGTTTTTATTTCTGGCCACGAGTGTTCCGTTACCATTATTAATCGATACGCCGTGTATTACTTTGGATTTTGGTTCTAATGACAAAACGAATCTCTATCGATTACGGTGATTATATTTATAAGCTAGACTAAATGATTTTGCAACGATGGCCACCCGGCCGGGCTTTAATGACGCGTACTTTCGGGGATAACTCGTGTACCGTATTCATCTATTCTATAGGTAATGCCGTTTGGCACGAGATTGCGTCCTCCTACTAAAAACAAATAGAACTAATGAAAGTTAAAATACAAAATCAATAATAAAGAACGAGCGGTCACGATGCCGGGTCGCAATTTTTAATCATATTTTTAATTTGTTTCGTTTAAAATACGCGCTCTCTACCCGAATTTAGTACTGTAGTGTTTTGCCCCCGTACATCGTACTTTCCGTTAGCGAAGGAGTCGCGCCGGTCACGCTTTGGGAAGAAGTCGAATCGAAATAACGTATATAGTTAATCGGGACCTGCCGCCCCTAAGGTTTCCGTATCCGGTATAAGACTACAACACCATTGGATAGAAATGTAACTGTGACCCGTTGATTACATTTCTGTAATCAACAGAAATGTAAATGCGTGATAGATCGAAATAATGTTAAAACAATATCGTTTGAGAGAAATAATAAAAAAGAAAAATAGAAGAACAGTTTACTGTTATGACAAAATTAAAAGAAAAAATGTAAATTTACTAAATTTAAATACGGGTATAAATGTGTCACCAGAATGGTATACTGTTGTAAACGGCGCGGACACGACAACTCGAACGTCACGGGGACATTCGTAAGTTTTTTAAAAATATCGTATTATGTACTTTTGTGTTTTTATTGTTTGTAGGCAAAACTTTGTCCTACGAAGTCTTTTCGGTGCAAAACGTTTCTTGTCTTTTTCCACCTCTTTTTTTCAAAATATTTCTGGTCCTACAGAATTTGCTTTCGAAACTTTCTTTGTCGTATCTTTAGTTTCGAGTCGACTTTTGTTCAAACTATTTGATTTAATTATTCTGTAATGCTGCGTAAGACTATAAAAATGACCGAAGATAAAACTACGATTCGTAAAGCCGTACTTAATGCGCGTTTTGAACAGTGCTATATCAAAGTCGGAAAGTATGGTCGAACCGGCGAAAGAAAGGGAGAGAATCGATCCGGTTCTTTCCGCCGGAGAAGAAAAGCAGTTATAAAAATGACACGAGATAGCCAATACGAGTTCCTATTCTTCGCGATAGGTGAATCGACTTTAATGGTTCGCTACAACCCGCTAGTATACCCGCTTTGATCGTTCCGGTTAACAAATTAGAGGGCGTGGGGAATGTTCTAAAAGAAAAGGAAAAGTTTCCGATTCTTTTCTTCCGGATAAAAGTGACGACGTGACCGATGTCGCCAAACACCGATACCGAAGCTGTCGGAAAATGTTGGTCAGAATTGGAGCCGGTTAGAAAAGAACTAACTGAAAAACGTGGAGCGAGCGGGGACATTGGCGAGTACGTTTAATGTTTCTACCGCCAAGTCGACACTTTTGATGAGCGATTAACTATTGTACTCCGAAACGAAATCTTCTGTACTTAAGATATTTCGGAGAAATAAACCGGAAAAAGTCGAGGAAATCCTTACAACTTATTTGGTGTAAAGTCCGAGAATTCGTTGGTTTTTCTGGAAATTTACAAACGCCAGATTCGGATGGCGGCCGTTACATTCCATTAGAACTGTACTAGTAGCTTACCCGGACGATGTTCGCCTACGAAATTGAAAATCGTCACTTTTGATAAATCGTTTGTCCCAAGTTTATTGTTCTTTTTCCCACGGCGCTTCGATATAGCGCGTGACTCGGCCACGGCCCGGCCTTTCTTTCTGCGCGGTGATTGGCCGCTGTTTGAAAACGTTAAACAATAAATTGGCATTTGTCGCTTTTAATAATTGTATAAGATTTAATTTTTAAAAATAAATGCGGCAAACTCCTTACGAATTAGAAGAAGGATTTCCTTCGGCTAAAATCGCGTAAATGTCTACCATATTATAAACGCGATTAATCGTAATTACGAAGCGATAGAAGTGGAGACATTCGGCCATTTTCACCAACCGCTTTCTTCTGATGAACTTCCGCTCACCGATAGCCCAGCGGGTAAATCGTCGGTCGCGGGTTCGCGGCCGACCAACGAGGAATTTCGTCCGCTCTAAATAGGCGCCCGTATACCCTAATCTGTATTAAAAACAATCAAATAAGAATTGCGGCCGGTAGGCGTCCGCGTACGTCACCCTTCCTCCACGCGTACGCTAGTGATCTAAGTCGCGTACGCCGTGTTCCGTTGGCCCCGTGTAGCGCGCTGCCGCGGCTTCGAAATTATCGATGGTTTGGTGCAATCGTCGACGATGGATCAATGGTTACGTCTAGACACATTCTTTTATTATTTGTGTATTTATTCGCTCTTTCCGCCCTGTGGGACTAAGAGGATTTTTATGTTTAATCGTGCCCGTTGCCAACTTGGCCACGTCCACAATGGAAGCGGTCAAATTTCACAACCTAGTAACAAATGTATTATATACACGACAGAATCCTCTAATCCCGCTTTTATCACTTAATTGTTCCGGAAACCATCTTATTGTCTTTAAGTTGTTGTCATAAATTAGACTTCCTTCCCGGAAATACGACTTTTTAGCTATATAATACCACGGAGAGACACCAATAAAACATACTGCGCTTAAATATGGCATTTGGTGGTCAAAACGAAAAATTTACGGTGGTGGTAAAACGTGAGAACTAAAATGAGTGGTCGTAAATCGGAGTAGTTCCTATTCGTGTAAAATTAACCTTATATTTACTAACAGAAAATAAAATCTTTAAGACTTTTATTAATAAAGAAATATTCTAGTATTTCTTTCGTTTAAAAAAAGCCCCGTACAAGCTCTGGATGGTCCCGGTTCGATCAATATTGGGGTATTGCATTTTAGTTTAATTTTTTCTATTGGTATACGGCAACGCCAGTCCGAGTGGAGTGCCTTCCGGGAAGTCTTTTACGGGAAACTGGCCCCTATTTAGACGTTACTAACGTTAAGACAACTCACAAAATCCTCTAAACACTACCGGTGTTTAGTGGTTTTATTCACTAGGCCACTAGTGGGCGCATTTAAGTTTATTCGTGAATAATCGCATCAGATTTTCAAATAATAATCATTTTTATTAGGAATTAATTTAATCCGACATTCGTCTAGAAATGCTATTGGTTTTCGGAACCAGTCGCGTATTTTGCGGATCCCCGTGTAAAAATATAAATTCCAGGCATATAAAATACCGGAAAGTATATATGAAGTGTTAAATGTAGGTTCGCCTCACGAAATATCTCCAGTTCTTAGATTTAATCGGGACTGATCAATTTAAAACTGTTGTTTTTTGTGGAAAACGAACATTTTACGGATAGAACTTACGATAGTTCATCTCGAGTCGATTTTCTTTGATTGTTAGAGTTTAATAGAATTTATAAATCCTAATTATTCGTACCTGAGCTGCGATCCGACCAACAATTTAAAAAGCTTGGTTAATTCAGGCAACCAAAAAAAAATATATATATATATATACCGAAAGTGTATATATATATATATATATATATATATACTGTATATATATATATTTGCAAATTCCATTTAGACCGGAAGTCCCCAAATTTTTTAGACTGTCGACCATTTTAAGGATTCCTCGACCTTCTTTTTATTAACACAGTTAATAACAACGATAATAAATTAATTTTGGAAGCTGGTATTAATACAAATATCATTTTCATAGAAAAAATCCTTATTGTAGAAATTTACAATATCCGGACTAAATGAACCGTTTTGAATTGACTCCCTGACTAATTTTTGACACCCGGTTCGTCGACCACTTTGAGGACCCCGATTTTTTTTAAAACTCTTTCTGCCCGGTACGCCTTTCTTGTGGATTCGACGGGGTCCGGGTTGGAGTGGACGAGTGTATCTGCGCCTATTCCGTATTGTCCTACTTGGCATCTATTTTATGATGTTCGAGCGTTTGGCACCTCGTTTAGTCCCTTTGCTCGTCGCTCGGAAACCTAAGCCGTCGGCTCGGACCAAGAATCTTCTCAGTTTTACCTGTGTAGTAGATATCCGGATGGTAAGTACTCTCCGGCCCATATACCAGTGGAACCCCGGTTAACGAACTTAATTCGTTCCGCGACTCCGTTCGTTAACTGAATTATTCGTTAACCGAAGCAATTTTTCCCATAGAAATTAATGCAAATGCAATTAATCCGTTCTAATCTCCGAAATTTTTGTGATTTGTAATATACAGTAATTTTCTTTGATGAAAATGTAGGAAAACGTAGTATGTATCATTACAGCAACAAACATGTAAACTTTGTTTAATAAAATAGCACTGTACATATCTTCGTTTGTTGTAGTTGGTGGCAGAAAAGTGGAAATATACGAACCTTAATGCTTAGAAGGGAAATCCCTTCCAAAAAAATAACGGGTAGCACTTCATCAGAAGATTCTTCGAGTCGAAGTCTCTTTCGGTAAAAAAACCCACCAGTGGCTAAGTGGTCTTCGTACCTTGAACTCTGGGAGTTCGTTCGTGGGTTCGCACCTCGCTCAGACGGGCTGGCCACGTGGAGTTTTCTGGGTTTTCTCCACGTCTGTAACGCCTAAATAGCAGTTTCCCTTAAAAACACCTCCCAGAAGACATTCCCTCTAGGCAGATCGTCCAAGTGCTGCGTTGCCATAACTTAACAAACAAATAAACTCTTTCCGTAAGGAACAAGAAATTGATCTAAAGTTGATTTTCTTACTCTTTTAATCAAAATTTTTCTCAAATGCGATAACGCGTTGTCGTTTTCTATTGCCACTATGATTTTTTTCTTTCTTGGATGCCATATTAATTAAACATATAAATCACAAAACTGAAAAAAGAAGTATAGCACAAACACTGGAAAAAGCAATGCTTAACTCGCGCATGCCTAACACCAAGTAAAATTTGACACAAAATACCGTTACGTTCGTTATCCGAGACAAAATTTTTGCAAAATAAAAGTTCGTTAACCGATTTGGTCGTTAACCAGGACGTTCGTTAACCGGGGTTCCACTGTACTCTGCTTCATTACGCTGCGCTTCCTTCTAATCGATATTAAGTACTGTAGTCTCGTCTTCTATAGAGTACTGCACTAAGTTCTCATTATTGTTCCTCGCTCTTTTGCATTTATTTTCATTTATTGTAGTCTTGGGGGTCTGCCATCCTTCGCTCTCGAGATGCCAGGTCGCGCGAGACGTATTTACACCCTTAAAGAACAGTTTCAAAAAAGACCAAGACCCGATCTGAGGAGCTTTGTAGGCAATTTTCTACATAAAATACATTAAAATAAAATAATATAAATGTTTATTTATAATAACTTTTGTACAAAAATGTTAATAAATCATTTCTTTTCTATAATACACACATTGGTCCTTCGAATACAACGTAATCACAGATTTAAGTGATTAGTCGAAAAACAAATTTACAACAAAGAAATAAATAAATACGATCAAACATTCTAATTTACAATTACTATCACAGTAAATCTCGATTATTCATATTAAGCGTTTGTGAAATGCTATATATTCCATACGTCACTAAACTCCAACTGTGTACTGCAGTTTGACTTCAGTAAATATAATTAAATACGCTGGAGTTCGGCCGTATATGGAATGTTTGGCGGACGCATTCTGGAATAAGCATATATTATCCGTTTAGTTATTCGTATAAATTCCGTGCGTAAAACTTATCCGGATTAAATGATGGAATTAATACGCTTTACTCTGGGTTCCGTAATATGAATATTCGAGAATCTAGATCTATTGAGTCTCTAAATATTTTCAAATTTTTATCTTGGTTTATTGTTTTATAATGTACTGTACAAACACTAAGTTAATTTATCATACAAATTTTAATTTTGTATAATTTGATATTTTTTTAAAACTTTATAAAGAATAAAAGTAAATAAATGGTGTTTTTACAAAAAATAATGCCCAAAATGTAAATCAACTGTAAGAAACTCTGTTCCTTTTTTTCAATGGACGTAAAGCTCTGAGAAAATGGTTATTTTAACTGCTACATTTTATCAGCATTGTGCCACAATTGATGTTTTTTGGATGACATAATCTAAGAATGCCAAAATTTTATTAAAATTTACTCAAAGTTGTCTTTTTATAATTAAAAGATCAATCACATAGTTTTCTTTCATTCAACTATTTCTTTTAAAATGAAACAAATTGCATATAATAGTTGTGCTCTGACAGCATTGTAAATTACATTTCTAGATCGCTAGCAAAATAAATTAGACTATATATTTTTTTCTGTGGAATGTTCGATCTGCGGGAAGTGAAATTACGGAAGTTTGATTTAGTCTTTGATTTGCTCGAGCGTGAACCGTCGGCGTCTGCTCGGAGTCCAGATTGGCACAGAGCCTTTTGCGTCAAAAATGGAAGAAATCAAAAATTTATGAGAATAATATAATAAATGTGATGGCTTGAAGTAAAATATGCAATAAATATATTTTTATAAAATTATATAATTATGTCATTTTATAAAAATTATAAAAATTAACAAATGAAGCGTGAGAAGAACACCATAAATGTAGCATCAAAGTGAACATCGCAGCCGCTAAATAAACAAACTGCTGATAATGAAATGATTATTCCTTAAACATTAAATAGCAACCAAAAAAAGATATTTTTCTCCACTTATTGCTAAGTGATTTAAAATAAAATTTTGCTCAAATGTTTGAAAAATTAATTTTCATCAAAATATATCCAATGCTGAAAAGCAACTGATTAAATGAAATAATCAGACTGGAAGAGAAGCTCAAGATCAGTGTGCAAAATGAAATGGCTTATGCAATCAACTAGTATCTGCAATTATTCTTTTTCTCTGAGTGGACCTATTTACAAATTAAAGTGATTTACATTTCAAGCATAAATTTAGGAAAATATTTAAAAATTATTAAATCTATATTTACATAAAAACTGAATGTTTGAATTCTTATTTCTTTTCGTACATTAATAGTTCTCCCAAACAGAACCAAAAGTGTCATTTAAGATGATTGTAAAATATTTCCAAAACAATTCGGTTATTTCACACCGTAGGGACTAATTGGTACGGAAATCCGTCGTCGTCTTGACAGCAGTATCTCCAAAGCAGCACGCTCACCACAATTAATAAAATGAGCAACGGAATGCCCAGGACGACAATAATGATTATGGCTAAAACATTAAATCAAAAATTAGCAAATTGTTAAATTGTGATGATATATTTACATTCCATTCGATTGACTAACCTTGTTGTGACAAAATAGGCGGTTGTTTGACTAAACCGCATTCCTTCTTCCAATCCAAAGGTACAATGTCTCGCGTGAGTTGCACAAACTTCCCGAGCTGACATCTCTTGCTACAGCTCGATAATTTAAGGAGATGTATTTGTTGCGGTTCCTCGGTGGGATCGGAAGTATTTAAATATAAAATCCTAACCGTGTGATCCTGATAGCCGTCCGAGTGTAGTTCGAAGACGATGGTGGCGCAATAAGGAGGAGCAATTCCATTAAACACTCCTAGAGCATTTAACACGGCAGCAATTAGAGTATCATGCTGTAAATTAAAAAGTGTATACATTACACATGCTATAATGTCAAATATTCAAACCAATTATACAAAACAAAATTTTTTTTTAATAAGGTATATTCTTACTCACTGATGAGTACATGTATACTTTAATTTGATCTGATAACTGTCCTTTTGCTTTTTGAAGCATTTGGTTAGTTATTTCACCTATGAGAGGACCTGAAAAAAAAGTTAAATTTATTTATTTTTATTTAAAAAAAATCCTTGAAAAGTTATTTAATTCAATTGAGACAATAAAGAGTAGGTGTACAGATTCTTCATTAAAATTTAACTTTAAAAACAGAAATTCACTAACAAAATTGTCTGGAATGGAACTTAAAGCACCATTTGTCAAATTTTTTTCTGTCTTATTATTAATCACTTCTATAAAATATTTTTTTGATATAGAATTTAAATAATTACAAATAATATATAAAGCTAATATTGTTTACAGAGAACTGTTATAAAATACAACACTACATAGTTAATGCCACTTTGGACTACGAAATGCAGTTGAGGGGAGCCCCTCATATATAACAAGTTATATAACTTTCCACAAATCAGTAAACTCTTTCTGAGCTATTTTGTTACAATAGAAATAAGACTTACCAGCACGAAGTCTCTGAATCAACTTTGTACTGAATTCCCAATAAAATGTATCGGAAGTAACTTGATTCATTTCATCCCAAACTGGAATTGCCCAAGAAGGAATTGTTAAATTGTATTTTTTCTGAAAATTAATAAATATACTTATATAGTCATGCATAATATTAAAAAAAAGTAAATAATTTACATATTTTTACTTCTATTTATTTTTTAAGTAAAAACATTGAGAACTTTTTGGAGAGTAATGCATTCTGAATATATCAGACTCCATCCCATACTGTGGGTCAAGACAAACTTATGACAGACTTCAAAAAAGGCCTTCTTATGCCCACAGAAAGAAAAAGTAATAAAATATCCATTATAACTGAAGGTGAAACTATAGTTTTGTATTACAATTCTTTGCCAAAAAGAGAATCAATATAATACAGTCATCCAGGCAAAGTTCCCTCAAAAAAGATTTCACCATCTAGCAAAACATTGATGGCTACCATTTTTTGTAATATGGAATTACATAGTATTGTATATATGTTTCTTCAAAAATCTAAAAAATAGATTTTGTTAAGTCATCTGTTAAAACTTATAAATAATCTTATTGACATAAAAAGAAATATTTATTTAATCGAATATATAGTACTCTTCATTAGATGTGACATTTTTCCACAGAAGTACAAGTTTTTCAATGCCTTTCTTAAAAATTCTTCAAATTTTTTATTAAAAAAATGCTTTGATAGACTTTTGGATAGTTCCATTTAAATTAAAACTTTCTCCATTAGCACTGTTTTGAAGGGATCAAAAGTGATGGTAATCAGGGCTATAAGGGGAATGAGGGAGAACTTCCCAATTAAGCTCTTATAATTTTTGTTGGGTAGCAATTGCAACATGGATCAAGCATTATTTTGTAACAAAATAATGCCCTTCCTGTTTATCAAATATACATTTTTTTAAAGTTTGCTACAAAGTTTTCCAATTGCTGACAATATAAAGCAGCATTTACTGTTTCGTTTGGATTCAACAACTCAAAATGCAGTATTCCTCTCGTATCACACCCCACACACAGCAATGATTTTTGAGAATGAAGACCATACTTTGGTTCTGGAGCTGGAGCAGCCTTTGGATCTAACCACTGTCTTTTATGAATGAGACTAACATGTAATACCCACTTCTTATCCCAAGTTACTATTCTATCCTGAAATGGGGTTTCCTCTTATCTATTAAGAAATTAAACACACCAGGATAATCTATCTAGATGATTATTTCTTGTTCAGCTTCCACTACTGCAGCAATACCAGCATTTTCTAAGCCTGAAGGTTGTTCACAAGAAGGCACACCTTCAAGATCAAAATCACCATCCTTAAATATTTTGAATCAACTTTAGCATTGAAACCTTAATTAATTGTCAAAGTTAAACAAACTTCATATATCATTTGTCACTGTATTACTTTTTCTAAATTCATATAATATTACATGCCTTAAATGTTCTGAACAGCTCAGTTTGATTGCCACTAACAACTTAAATTATCAAAATAAAAACTAAAAATAATCAAAATCTGTTAAGAAAATTATAACTACAGAGTACAACCACGGTTTTTTCTATAGTTCCAGCAAAGAAATCAGGTTTTAAAACCAAGCTTTACATATGTTTTTTTCATTTGGCCTTCCTCTGATATTAGTGAAAATAAAGAGGGAAAAAAGAACAAAAATTAAAATGAATTTCAAATAAATAATTTATTTTAGAATAAATTATTTATTTGAAAGTATACATGTTCAAGTTTTGTTCTTTTCTCTTCATTTTTGCTAATTCCACAGGAAAGCTAAATGATAAATGGCCAAAAACATGTAAAATATGGTATTAAAACCTAATTTCTTTGACTGGTGTAGTTATATTCTAAGCTTCCTATTCCAGTTGCATCTATATAATTTTTTCATTATTAAAACCATTATGTAATTAACAAATTAACACTTGAACTGACTATGCAAGCTATGATTGCTATAACACAAAATAATACAGAAAAAAAATTATACTACTTAAGGCTCAATCCAATATCAAAATTGAAAGATACTATATTGAAATTAATAACAAAAAATTCAAGAAATAATCTTTATTGCATTGAAAAAACCTCTGAGTCTACTCGATATTTAGGCCAGAAAGTTTAAGATCTTCCTCACATAGCTGTCAGTAATCAGTATCCAGTACTAACTATGATTTTATATCTTACTTGCTGTGGCTCAAAATGTATCTATCAAAAATGTATAACACTCCCCGCGGGGGAATTCGAAAAATTCCTTCTTAGTGTACATTCTCTTGACGAACGCAATCAAAAATGCAAAAAACTGCTTAAGCCCTGGTCACACTATGCGATTTCCAGCCATGCAGGCGACTGCAACCGCGACGGCTGTTCCCGTTAACTAGTAATCCCCCCCTCGAAAACCGGCGCGACTGCAATCGCAACTAGAAACAAAAAGTTTGTTCTACTCGCGACGATTGCAAACGCGCATCCAATCAACAAACGCCTTTATGCCACGTCATACAGTGACAACATTGAAAATAGTTCATCATCATGGCGGATAGTCAGAGGATTAATACTTTTACAGAATCGAGATTGATCGAGCTTATTCACGAATACCTGTGGGATTTTAATTCTTCGTTTTATCGAAGATTTTATCTTTTCATGTATTTTCGCCAGCTCTATTAAAATAATCGCCTTTTTTCTTTTATTCATTCCAGAAAAGGAACTGCTTGCTATTTTAATAAGAAAAGTGGCTAAAATTCCGTAAATACTCTGAAGTAGAACGTAAAATATCAGCAAACTCACGAAAGTAGTCAAAAACAAGCTACTGTAATTTTATTGGTTTATTATAGGGCCACGTGTTTCCGAGTTGCAACGTCAACAAACAATGTGTGACCCCGAGAAGACGCGCGCGACTCGCGCTTGTTGCAGTTGCAGTCGCCTGCGCTGCTAGAAATCGCATAGTGTGACCAGGGCTTTAGTGTACATTCTCCTATTAAAACGCAATCAAAAACGCATCTAAAATAGTATAATAGAAGCCCAGTTCTTCACGGTAAGCCTTAATTTTGTCCCTCTCCCTCGCAGGGGGAGGGGGATTTCGACATCTATATAATATAAAAACACATGTGTATTCGAATGCAACATTGTTTCAAAATTTCAAAGCAATTGGTGAAGAATTTTTGGATATTTAAGATTTTGAACAAACAAACATTTACATTTTTATTTATATAGATATACCATATTTATTCTAATAAAGAGCACCCTCTTTAATAACACAGTACAACTAAAAGATGAAAATATTAGATAATGCTGTCTATAACTTTTAAGTGTACCATCTATTGACAGAAGATAAAGTTTAAGATAAATTGAAAAACTGCACAGCATATTCAACTGTCATTCTTACTGTATGTTGAAATAAAGTGAGTGTATAATGTAAATGTAAAGAGTGAGTGTAAAGTGCTTCATTGTTGTTCAAATAATAATAAAGTGAAAAATTACCAGATTTATTTCATTGATAGTTGTATCTAATTCCTAAAAATTAGAAACAATAGCTACCTTCTAATAGTAAGATGAAAAAGTTACAGACATTATTAGAATAATACAGTAATATCAAAGTGTAATGTGATATAAATTGTACATTAGATTTTCTTGCATAAAAAGGCTTCAAAGTTCATGTTTATTTAAAGAGCTTGAATAACTAAAAACCACTACTGATAGTGTGATATTCATTCATTATTTTTCATTATTTATTGTACATATAAATAAATATATATACAGGCCGGCCCCGCAGAAAGCATTACCGGCTAAACTCAATACAATAGCAATGCTCAGAAGTACATGTTATACACAATAGACTAATGATGAAGAAATAAAATAAATTAAAATATATACTATATACAACTATATACATACAATAAAATACTAAACTATAAATACATATTATATATAACTGTTAACATAACATAACAGGAAATAAATACATAGGATATATCAATATCATAAATGTAAAAAGCAATATGTAAGAAAACAAAGTTGGCTTAACTATTAATAACTATATACTACTATACAACTACATACATACTCGGTGAGTTGCTATTATTAGAGAAGAGTAAACAAATTTTATCATAGTCATGAAACACGTGTCCACAAATCACAATAAAAATACACAGAAATCAGCAACTCTCCAAAGTTGAGGCCAACACTAACGTTGAGTAATGTGTCCTTTGATTTTTAGAAAAAAAAAAGACGATTATAAATAAATCAAAGTATGCAGAATACAACAGTAAACTTGACGATGTACTGTATAAAGACGTGAAGTAGTCTATGCAAATATCTATATATGATAATTAATCCTTTGTTGGAATTTGGTTTTTTCCTTAAGATATACTGGACAAGTTTTATCCATTGTATTATGACAGTTATGTGCTCTGTTTTCTCGTAAACAATTGGCACACTTTGGTGAATTATGTTTGTTCTGGCAGTTTTTATATAGATGATTCTCATTACAATGACTACACACATTGTCTGTTGAGGTACAATTTTTTGCTATGTGACCAAAAGATAAGCAACGATAACATTGAGTAATAGGAAAAAAGTCAAAAACTTGACACGTCGACCAAAGAAGATGAATTTTCCCTGCCTTTACTAATTTCTCCCTAACCTGTGGAGATACCTCTAGAATCCATGAAAGATAATTTTCATTCTTTTCTTTAAGCGGAAATCTAATAGTAGCATGTTCAGCAAAAGTGCGATCAGTAAAAGTTTCTAGAAGGTACACGTTTTGCTCAAAGATATCTAATATGAGATCGTCTTTATTGATACCTTTAGGAACGGAAGCAATTTTGATTAGTGGAAGTCGCTTTTTCGGCAGTCTGGAAACCAAGCCAGGAACTTGTTCAACATTCTCTTTAAAATAGCCTACCTCATTCTTATGGCTTAAATCAATTGCAAGTCCTCCATTCCTAATCTTCCTTATTCTACGTATCCCTATGCCAAGTTTATCAGGTTGCACGTTATTAGTTAGATTACGTTTAGTTTCATCACAAGTGGCACCGACTTTATCACTATATACCAAAACTGTGTATTCTGGTGGAGGTGGTTCATTTGCAGGTAAGGTTGGTTTTATTCCTTTTAGTAGGGTATCTCTATAACTAAGGGTGCTAGGAACTTTTTCGCCAGCAACACTGTCAGAAGTAGTTTTCCTTTGGTTATGTACTGCGGATTGAATATCCATTAGAATTTCTTTAGATTCATCAAATTGAGCATCTTTAAAGTCTTGCAAATCCTCTTTAGTAACTAACTTTGAAAGTGTTCGTTCAACTAAATTATTATTCTTAAGAGTAGATTCTGCTAATTCTATAATTCTGGTGAATTGTGTCAATATATATGTTAAATGACACTCTACCCCAAATTTAGCATTTCGATTTTGCAGGGAATATCTCTTAATCTCGTCATAAATACCATAAGCAGTATCATGGAATATTTGTATTTCAGATTCCATACTGAAGAAAATAATAAATTTTATCTTAAAATATTAATATCGTCTAATATATTAATTTTGTTAGCTTATAATTATGTGCAACGTCTTCCTCTACTCCAGACGAATCTAGAAATAAATGATATGTATAGGAAATTATTAATAGAAACAGAGAAAATACAACTTCCGTGAAATGTTCTAGAAAATTCTAGTAGTAGAGGTCAATGTTGAAAATTAAAGATTTCATAGAACATCAATAATTTAAAAACTATTAAAGCTATACTTGTGAAATTTTGGGATAAATTCACATTTGATGTCTTCTAAGAAGCGACTGGAAATTATTCTGATATAGCCCACCGGAAACGAGTTACGGCTTGCCGAAAAATAACAGGAAGTGGTTAATAACTCCTTAAATACCGGGCCTGGAACCCCAAAATTTGAAACATGTACTCACTTAAGTAGTGCGAGTAAGCCACTAGATCAGGTTCCGGTTGAATGGTTGAGATAGTCCGGAAAATCAACCCCGAATAACCGGAAGTTTCAAAAACGTGTAATTTCAGAGAGGAGTATCCAAATTGTACAAACTTAACATATTCTTGTTCGTTATAAATAACGCTTTCAAAAAATGTATAACACTTATAACAAATAATAAGAATTATAGGAAAAAACTTTAAAAATGCAGGAGCAGAAAAATTCCATTTCTTATCTCTTTGAAGACAGCGCCACCTCTCGATAGTGTGATATGCCAGATATATCATATTAAAATAGCTTTTTAAGCCTGTTTAATGTATAGTTCAGTTTATTTTCAGGAATGGAAACTCAATTTATGCCACTGAATCTATGGAAAATTACAGTTTAATTTATGAGGATTTGCTATACACACAGGTACTCCTTGGTTAATGCAGTAGATACCTTCCTCAAAAGTAACATGTTAAAAATGAATGAATGAAAAGAAAACTCACATATAGCAACTATCACAACCTCCTTTGGAAGCAATTACATCAATAAAGTACTATACAGTACAAATAACATCTGTAATTAATGAACTAATGCATAAACTGAAATGTGTGTTAACCAAGAACTACATACATACATATATAAATACATGAAACCAAAATACAAATGTTTTTTGAATATGGTTATAAACAATTTAGATAGTTGGAATATTTTGTCTTGTTAAAATGATAAATATAGCAGCAATAAATGCTATAATTAAAATTAAAAAAAATAATTTTATATGAGAAACTTAGTAACAATTCTTACCTCTATCCATATTGTGTTATAAAGATAATCAACATCCTTCCAAAATGAAACTTTTGTGCCACTGTAATTGGAAAGATATTCAAATAACTCCTGAAACAACAAAGATAAAAAAATTATTTTATTTACGTACATAAGCGAGATTAATTTAAAACTAACATTAACTCAATTAAATTTCAACTTAAAAAGATACATCTAAAGCAGCGCTGTCCAACTTATCATAGCCCGCGGGCCATATTTTCTTCACCAAACATTTCGGGGGCCAAGAAGGTTGGTGATGGCTAATTGGTCGGCCGGGAATCACGCCACATGACATTTGCATAGTGCTACGGTCTGTAAGCACTAATTGGTCAGCGAGTTCGATGTTGACGCTATAAAAAGGCGACAGTTCGACACACCGGATATATGTCACTCTCGTCTAAGTTCGACTTCGGAATTTTTTTGTTCAATAATAAATGTGAATTCTTCTTNACAACTTTATTTTTACTTTCTCAGCAAAAATTAAATCAAATTTTTACTAGAAAAGTAAAGGTTGTTGGTTGTAATACAACTATTTCCAGTTTTTGTTGGGCTGCAATTTGAAATAAACCAACAATGGGTTGCTTAACTTTCCCAGCAACATTTAAAATTTTGGTGGTGCCATCTGTTATCATATTTTATTTTTAACTATTATAAAATGGCAAAAAGCTTAATTTTCAGGGTAAGGATGGGTTTTATAAAAAATTTTAAATGCTAATAATGAGTAAAATCATCATTAAGTCCAACCCTACTGGAGATATACACAACCCCCTCAACTTCTAACCACAAAAATTTAATTGCATCCTTCGTTAATTAATATGCATCTATGTCCTTAATTTAATCAAAATTATTCTTTCAATCACTATATCAGTGTATTTCTATTAATAGGACTTATCATACTGGTGTATAAGATTACAGCCTCACAGTTACACAGATTAAAATTGTTTTAATTTTAATCTGTATAACTGTGAGGTTTAAAACACATTATTATTTTTTTATTAATTATTTTTATTTTATAGACAAAGCATGGGCATGGGCATGGACATGCACAAAGTTTTCCAAGGAGGGCAAAGCTCGGAGACAAATATGGTATACTTCAGATTATCCAGGCTAATCGCCAGTAATGGAGGAACAGATAATGCAGAAATATGGATAATCCACAAGTCTGTTTTAATGAAACCTATTGATCTTTCTTTTATTTAGTTTTTAATTTCATATTAAATTTAACAATAGTTTATACAAGTATATATGTATGGAATATAACATTTGAATACAAAATTGAAAAATTACTTTAAAAAGGAAAAAAGCATACAAAACAATATTAAAATATGCATAAGAAAATATACATTATGCCTAAATAGAGTATATTATTTAAAAACAATAGCCTTTTTTATTTCTGGAGACATTGCTAAAACAATAGTAAAATAATAGAAGACTGGTATATCAAGAACTTCAATAATGACATTAAATTAGTCTTAAAATACATGGACAATATGTTAATCATATGAAAGGGTAAAGGTAGCATCCAAGAATTCATAAATTCCATAAATAAAAATTCTGTGGGAGTATCTATTAAACTAGCAGATAAAAATACAAAAGATGTCAACTTTCTGGACTTTACTATTTACAAAACAAGAACTAACATAGGTACCAGAATACCGTAAACACAAACCAAAGAATTCATTAATGCACTGGTAATATCATAAAGTACTCAGCAAATCACTATACATATAACTAACACCTTATCCTTGCCGAGAAATATAATTTATTTCAAACAAATGTTTTCAGCCTGATTCACAGGCCATCCTCAGGTTGAGAACCAAATTAGAATTAAAGGATTCCATTAATGGAATACAAAATTAAAAATTAAATAACCAACAGAATAAGATAAAATAAAAATATAAAAATGTAAAAAATGTGCATAGAAGTATTAAGAAATACAATTACTAACACATCCAATAAAATTACTATTTTGACTGGTTAGAGCTCATTAAATTTCTTAACTATAAACTTCAATGCAGAGGGAAGACTTTCTGCATCCCTCGCATTTAAACAACCTTCCTGTATTTTACTCCCATAAATCTGCAACTTTTCAGCTGTCAACGCCAAAAATGGGGAAGATAAAGGTTTTATGATGGCTGCCTCATTCCATTTGACTACAGATCCCAGTGTTTGCGCCATTTGGGACAAAATTGCTGCATTAGACTCCTTTTTGATATTATAACTGTTCCTTGATTCTAAGTCCCAAACTCCTGGTGGTTACTCCGATATAGTCTTTTTTAATGCCCAATTGGAGTAACTACCAGGAGTTTGGGACTTAGAAACTGTATATTGTATATGTATATTGTAAGACTGTATAACGTTAATCACATAATTTATGTGTAAGTTTATTATTGTATTATTTTCTTTAATGATTTAGAATATACTGTTCGTTTTAGGTTCGACAGTTTATTTACATGTGCTGTTACTTAAACTTTCTCCTATTTTGACATATTAAAAATTTGCATTTTTTCTTAACGTAATAAAAATATTTTTATTCGACATTTGCCGGTGTAAGTGAGAAATAATGATATTTAACAAATATTTCTTACATACACAAAATGACTGTGTGAATACTGACAATCACCAGATATCGGTCATTCACAGTAACATGTACGCAATAAAAATTTCTAGCTAAATGAAATTTATTTTTATATAGTCTAAACTTCTAAGTCAATTGACACAAAGATCAAAGAGCATTATAGATTGGTAGCCAAAGGACTTCACAAAACAGCTACTCATTTAGTAATTTGGACATAGAAAAAAGTGGAAATTTATTAGAACACTCTGGCATTAATTAAAGAATGTAGAGCAGCATCTATCACAACCAACAACTTTATTTTTACTTTCTCAGCAAAAATTAAATCAAATTTTTACTAGAAAAGTAAAGGTTGTTGGTTGTAATACAACTATTTCCAGTTTTTGTTGGGCTGCAATTTGAAATAAACCAACAATGGGTTGCTTAACTTTCCCAGCAACATTTAAAATTTTGGTGGTGCCATCTGTTATCATATTTTATTTTTAACTATTATAAAATGGCAAAAAGCTTAATTTTCAGGGTAAGGATGGGTTTTATAAAAAATTTTAAATGCTAATAATGAGTAAAATCATCATTAAGTCCAACCCTACTGGAGATATACACAACCCCCTCAACTTCTAACCACAAAAATTTAATTGCATCCTTCGTTAATTAATATGCATCTATGTCCTTAATTTAATCAAAATTATTCTTTCAATCACTATATCAGTGTATTTCTATTAATAGGACTTATCATACTGGTGTATAAGATTACAGCCTCACAGTTACACAGATTAAAATTGTTTTAATTTTAATCTGTATAACTGTGAGGTTGTAATCTTATACACCAGTATGATAAGTCCTATTAATAGAAATACAAATACACTGATATAGTGATTGAAAGAATAATTTAATTGCATCAATTCCCTAATAAACAAACCTCCCTGCAAAATTTCAGAAATTTTCAACAAAAAGCACAGGAGTTATTAAGCTTCAAACAGGGTAAACAAAATTATGCCCCCCCACACACACACAGACAGAAATTACCCCCAAATTTTTTTTGCATTTCTTGATGCTTCAAGGTGTCCTAAGTTCAAAAATGTAAAAATCTGGGGGTCATCCAGATCCAGGTCAACCATACTTCCCCTCTGTAAAAATTGCTTACTTTTCAATTCCCACTGTCATCCATCCATCCATTCGTCTGTCTTGAGAACTGTGGTAGATAGATGAAAGTTAAGACTATAGATATGGAAAGCTTAGGGGCAGAAGGTTCCAATTAACTCTGCACAAACTTCTGTTTTGGACTGGAAGTCATGTTATTTCAAGTCAAAAATTTTTTCCTGAACAGAGTTAAATACATGACCAGCATGACTTCATTGTTAATAGGAAAAGTATGAAGTGCAGGGGCAAGACACTAATAAGCTTAAGTGCATTGTGATGAAAAATTGCAGCCCAGCATTGTGACATCATTGCAATAATTAACTGCTCATTATTTTTTATTATAGTAGAGTAGGATTTCATATAAGGCTTTTAAAACAGATACATGTATTAATGGTTTATCACAGCACTTAAAAATGATAAATGCTAATGATGCAAATAAGCAAAATAATTGGAAGCTTTTGCTAGACAAAACAGACCAAACAACTACCAGATAACATCAGACTACTTTTCTGCAATTATATTTAATTAATTTCTAAATAATTTGTTCTAGATGGCGGTGCCAGCTCTAATAATAATCACAGAAAACTAGCTCGATACCATATTTGCCTGACATATCCTATATTTAATAAATATCTTTTGAATCATCCATTGACAAAGTTAGCGAATCTTACAGACTCATTACCGAATAAGTGGTATAAGATAATATCCTTTACCCCCAATTTCTCACAAAAGCATTTTTATATATTTGAAAAGTTGGAAACTCAGTCTCTAAAATGATATTAAAGTCTTTCAACAGATTTGTCAGACTTGGCAGTTTTAGTCTGGTTGGCTTTGGGATAAAATATGAAATGTAGGAAGCATTGCAAAGGCAATGGTAGATGTGAAAAACCCATGAAATCTCTCAGAAAAAGAGCTTAAGAAACAATACAACAGCACTATTACTTCAGCATTAAAACCATTTAAGATTGGAAGTTGAACAGCTAGAATGTAGAGATGCCACTCTAGTATCAGCAGAAGGAACATTTGCTTTTATTCTAAAAGAATTATCTTCATAAAATACTCAATTCATTCTTCTTAAAGAATCTGTCACGAAAAGAGTTGGACAATGGAAAAATGTAAGCCTGATCAACTTGATGAAATACATGAATAAGTTGTCCCTAATTCAATTTCAGAAAAGTCTGATCCATTTCTAACTTCATCTCCATATGGCTGTAAAGAAATTGTTTGAAAGAAATTTGTTTTTTTTTTTTGTTTGCTCCATCTTCCACTTTGTCTTCATTCTGAATTTTCAACAAGAGTACATGGTGTGGCTATAAAATAACAAGACTGAAGCTGGAACTTTAAACTTTAAGTAGTATACGTGCTTTAGTTGCATTCCCCTTCAATGTATGATCCTTTGCTTCCATACAATGCTGCATTTGTAACTTCCACTGATTATAACAGTGTTGCAGGTAAATCTTCTGTAAAGCTATGTAGAAGCTCTGTTGTTTTTTTCTTGACAGCAGAAACCGTATCAAAATGGAACGGTGTCCCTTCAAAGCAGACTTGACTTTAGGGAAAAGGTAAAATACACACAAAGCTAGATCAGGCAAATATGGTGAGTGTTCAAGTAGTGTGACTCACTTCTTGGCCAAAAACTGCTTCACTGACAGAGAGGAATGGTGCATTGCCTGATGGAAGATGAAACCATTTTGTCACAATGTTGCCACTTTCTTCTGACCCTTTTCCACAAAGATTCCAGAACTTCTTTGTAGTATTATTGGTTCACTGTTGTGCCTTCTGGAACCTAGTGCTCCAAAATTACACCCTTAATGTTGAAGAACACAATGAGCATGGCCTCAAACTTGGACTTGCTTTGTCACACTTTTTTCATCCTTGTTGACTGTGGTGTCTTCCAATGCATGGATTGACACTTTGTTTCAGAATTGTACTGGAATATCCAAGTTTTATCACAAATTATGACATAGTCCAGAAGGTCCGGCGTCTTTTCAATTTGAGCCAAAATATCAGAACAAATTCACTTGTGATTCTCTTTCTGCTCTGGGAACAGCAGCCATGGAAAACCTTAACATATGCCTTCATTGTATTCAGTTTTTTGTGCAAAATCTGCTGCATATTCTCCTTATCCACGTGTGCCATGTCTGCAATCATTCTTATACTGTCTTCAATCATTTCAAACAATTTGTTCCACTTTTTGCATGTTTTCCTCAGTTTTTGACTTGCTGGGCCATCTAGCACATTCATCTTTCACATCCTCTTGGTTCTCAGAAAATTTTCTGTGCCATTCGAACACACATGTGCAAGACAGACATGCATCTCCGTATACTTTATTACGTAGCAGGTTCAAAGATTCAGTGGCAGTTTTTTCAATTTCACCAAAATTTTCAGATTGATGTGATGCTCCTCTTTCAAGCTGGCCATTTTTCTGACATGTGCTAAAAAACACATCCACTTGCAGCAGGCATTCACAGCAATCTAATAGTGGTAGCAAGTTGAGACTCACTGTAATTTTTCTTACTAGTTCAAGGTCATTTACCCACTCACTTTGGTCCGTGTGCAACCATTGCATGCAGGCAATCACTGTCTCATTATTTTCTAGCCATACCTCATAAATATTCCCCACCATATCAGAAAAAAATCCCTTCTAAAACCTGTAAATAAGGCTATTAAAAGCTATCATCAAGAGATTGTTCAGTCATCTTATGATATAAAAATATTGTTAAAAAAAGTGGGGTGTGGCTATGTCGGGGACACAGCCGTGTGTTTTACATGAATACGTGTACGTTAACGGATAATATTTTTACGTTCTCGGCACCACTTCACTCTATCATATGGTGTTTTATGGGTATCACTGGATTGCTCTTGAGAAGCCCTTTCCAACAGTATACGATTTTTATATTTTGATTTGGCTTTTTGACGAGTATAGGCCGGCACTGTATTAAGTTTTCTTAATTTTTAACTTTAACACCATATATATTTACCATAACTATTCCACACTAATGTTTTGTGTATGCAATAGATAAATATTGATGAGAACTGTAAATTGAAACTCAAACAAGTGTCGTAGCTTCTCCGAGTCAAAATGTATACTAATCGGAAAGTATGTGACGTGACGAAACGACCTCAAAATAGCAACACTTTCCCTTCTGCCACGCGCAATGTATCAGTCTCCACTCAACGTAATAAATTCTTTGATCCTTTAACTATAGAGTGGTGTAATTAAATTTTAGATGTAGATGATAGATATGTAGCTGCAATGCCAAACTGTATCCCCCCGATTTTGTTATAATCAGTTTTCTGAATTGCCTCCCATTACCGAAGCAAATTTAAAGACATTTACATCAAAAATCAACTTGTTCAAAATAACTGACCTTAAGGACAATTATTTCAAACAAGTTCATTTCTTTAAAAAGTTCTTCAACATAGAATTTGAACCAACTTTTTCTTTCCCTCAGTTTTATCCCACTAACTTCAACTGAGTCTGAGAGCTTTTTCTGCAGCGACATTTTATCATCAAAATTACAATCTCAAGAATCGTACATTGTTGATAGTATGATACCATCAACAATATATGATTCTTGAAGCAATACTATAAATCTAGTTAATTTTTTTTGGAAATTTTGTAAAAGATCTTATATTTTATTTATTTGTTTTGTTTATGCATCTGAAAAAATAAAGTTTTCATTGTCTTAAAAATTACAAAAAAAATTTTTTTTAAAGTGTCTTACTCATTTCCCAAATTATCTCTTAGCCATGAGATCCATTAGTTGTTTTATATGTGAACACATAAAAAGGCCAGTGTATGGTGAATCATTTTTGGTAAGATATTTTTAATAGCTGGTTTTTAATAGTTTTACCAAAGTAAAATTGTTGCAAAATATTTTTTAGAATAATTGTAATCACTAGTTTTATGTACTATTGGATGTAATAATTTGTGAGAACCCAGACTAGTAGTTTTGTAATTTTGGCAATCTCATTACTTAATTTTTGTTCTAAAATTATTCTAACTAAATCTGTATTGACAAATACCATAGAGGAAGTTTGAGAGATTTACCCACTGATAACACTTCCTTCGTAGGTGACACATCTTCAGATAGAAAACTACTCGTCGAAAGAAATATCAAAAAAGTCAAGGATTGGATTAACCACCAGCTCCCTATACAACCTTACCAAATCTGGGCATCAGAATAGCAGAGGAGAAGACTCAGAATAAAAAGCAAGGGAAAAGTTCATAAGAGAGGTTGCCTGCCTGTTTTTGAAGTGTGTGATTACTTTGGCCATACTCCACCGCTGATCTTACCACTTTCCCACTGGACCTTCATCTCTCCAACTAATGAACAATTTACTAGACCTGTTATGAACATTACCATTGCAGTATTTTGTGGGTCAAGATTCATCATATACAAGTCTTCCTATCGGAAATATACTACACTGGGTTAAAGTAAACAATAAAGGCATGCGTGAATGACGACATGAATCCATGTGATAGAATTCTTAATGGTATTCTAATATGAATTGAATTGAATTTGAATTGCATTTGATTAACAGTCGTATGTTACCTGAAGAAGAACTGTCAAGTTCAAAAATGTTCGTAATGCTCTGTTTACCGAGAAGCACACCGGCAACAGGTTCCTGGTATGTTGTTTATTGTTTACAAGTCTTCCTCTTTTCAGGACAGGCCTGCTTCAGGATGATCATCAAATAATACCAATCCAGGTATTTATCAACCCATGCACGGTTGTAAACACTCACTCTCTCATATAGGTATGCGTAAGGATTTAGAAAATCCTTATCTTCACTTTTTTTTGTACCTTTTGACTCGGGAAAATAAATATTGGTTTTTTCTGGAAAAATGAATAGCAGAGTGCATTACTTCCAGGCTTCCCTGCCTCTCAAAAATTTCTCTCCTTCATCCCTTATTCCACAAGTCTTACATACGAGGGCCACTTGCATGATTTGAAGAATCCTATGAGGCAAAAAGTCACAGGTAATGCCAGACCTGACCAAAAAGAGCACTGCCTTGCTGTTCACAAATTTATGCTGGCCTTTTTATGTGCTTATGTACAAAGCAACTATATTGGATCTCTTGAGTAAGTGATAATTTGTAAAATGAATAAGATAATTAAAGAAAATTTCTTTTTGTAATTTTTGTAAAATAATTATAAATCAATTTTTTGAGGAAATTTTTGTAACCTTTTGCTGAAGAGGGATAGTAGTCTAATAGGCTATATAACTAAGCACATTTGTGTTACAATGAATATCTGAAAAACAATTGTGTACTCTAGTTTTTGTGCACTCCTCCTCCTTGATGTAACAAGTTCTTAAATAAAGTAAGGCTCTCATTAATATTTTTTAAAATAATAAAAAAGTTTTATTATATTTTTCCTATGAAAATTAGTAAATAGCTAAAACTAAATTTCTTTGTTTCTAACATTCTACTGATCAGTGGTCAGTTTTCTTTAAAATACTTTAAAATTTTATTAAAAATAGAAATGCAGTTTGATCCCAGCAATCCCAGATTTATTACTGTATTTCCTGCTTTCCCAGAATGATAACTGCTGGAAAATTGAACAACCCTAGGCATAATATTTATTTTATTGTGTGTATTTTAATATTGTTACTTTTCTTTTATAAGCTATTTTTAAACTTTTCCATTCAAACATTATGTTCCATGTAGCAACAATTAAAAATAGCATTCTATTTCATTTGAATAGTAAGAATTGAGATGGTTCAACAAGAGTCAAAAGTGTTTTTTTTTAATAAAGATTTTTTTGTATCCATATGATTTATTATCATATGGATACCAAAGTCACATCTTCACATCATAAGTCACACCTTCCACAGTATTTCCAACAAAACAGTTTAATAAAATTTAATGAAATGAATGTTTACAGCTACATTAAGTGGCCTGCTTCCAGTTTTAAGTCAAACGTTGGATTTAGATTGTTTGATTTAAGGATGAAACTGAATGTCAGATTTATACATTCAATTTCAGACTTAAAACCTGAAGCAGGCCATTTAATATAGCCAAAAATGTTCATTTCATTAAACTGTTTTGTTGGAAATATCATGGACAGTGTAACTTATTATTTATTTTGACTTCTAGAAAGAAAGAAATTTGTTTCTATGTTTTAAAATTATTTTATCAATATCACAACTCTAAATATTTACTTTATGCTCATTAATATATTTCTGTCCGTTTGGAGACCCTTTTATTCGCTCTTCTTCTTTCTCAGCTTCGGGACAAGGAGAATCAGTATACAAAAGCTGAAATGGAGAATTTCATTTTTAAATTAAAAATAAAAGAAATTTTAAAATATTAATATTAAAACTGAAAATAACTTTAAACTTTAAGTACATTATCATCAGATAATGGAACTGTTTGAATTGGTACTGGTTGCCAGTTCAAATCTTTATTCCACACCCATTTTGATTTAGGGAGATACATAGCTGCTAGATTACATTCGGCACTCTCCAGACATCGATTTTTTCCAGAACTTCTTACTATCACCTAAATAATAATAATGTAATTTTAAGTATAGTGCTGGACAAAACTTTAAAAACAAGTAACAAGTTCCCCTTAAACAATTAATTTTATTAGAATTATTGGTTCAATCGTATTCATATGGTTTAAAAAAGTAAAATAATAGGTTTATACAATAATGAAAGAATAGTGTTGTAATATTTCTCCCAAAAAGTAAAAAAGTATCATAATTTAATAGTTATTAAGTCTCTATAGTGGTTTCTATTCTGAGAACTTATCACACCTTTCAGAAAACATTTTCACTTAGACACCAAGAGACTGTTTTTTGCTGTTCTACTTTATTAAATATGCATTTTGGGCTGTTATGTCCCTTTTTGATTTAAAGTAGAACCTTTTTGAGTTACAATACTTTTACAACTACCTTACACACAAAAAAATACCTCTTGGTGTCTAAGTGAAAACCCAAAAGGTATGATAAGTATGATTAGATACCAATATGGAAGCTTAATAACTATTAAATTGGACTTTGAACTCAAATGTGAATTTTAAATAAACACTTGATTTTATTTCCATCACTTTTTAGTTGATACGTGGCAACTGCACGTTTCGGGCATAAAGCCCCTCATCAGTCAACTAAAAGATACAATATTTAAAATATTACATAAAATATCTAACAAAACAGAATTAAAATAATGTATATTTCTTACCATATCCATTTTTAATCTGTTATACATACAAGGTCTTAACCCAATAGGTGCACACAACTTATTTTACAATAAGTGGAGTAATTCCATTAAAATCTGCTATAAATGATCTTTTACTTATTTCACAATATCCAGGAATCATAGACATAATCACATGTGTATCTCAAAATAGAAATAGACAATTTTTTACATTATTGTTTTTTAACCGTACCTGCGTTACATACTGCATTGCAGTTTTGTACTGATTTGCATATTACAAAGAAAGATGATATTAATATTAACAGCAGCATAACCTTTATAGATAATTACAATCAACATTAATGTATATTGTGTATATTATAATATTTTAATCCAGTTCTCATTTACACTTAAATTTTTATTGATACAATTTTTTGCTGTTAAAATTGAGACCCTTTCTTTAAATTTTCTATTATACATATTTTTCTCTTTGTATAGGATTTTAACATTACTTTTATCTATATTACAGTCATTTATTAAACAATGGTCATGAAAACAGAGTTTAGTCGATTATATTTGAGATCTGCAATATGTTCGTTTACTCATATACTCAGTTTGCATTTAGTTTCTCCTATATAGTAGTTAGTTGTATTACAGGTACATGGTATCTTATATGCTACGTACTTTGTTTCTTGTTCTTTATTATCTACTTTATTAGGTTTTACCAGTCTTAATCTATTTTCTAATTTTTCGTATTTCGGGGCTAGTTTTGCGTTTGTTTTTTGTAAGTCTTTGTTGATATTCTCATATAGTCCTTTTATATATGGAAAACTGATATATTTTGTATCTATATTTAGCTTTTTTGATTTTTTATTATTCATTTTACTATTTATCTTGTTTTCCCAGCGATTGATTATACTGTTAGGATATCCGTTGAGAACAAATTTCTTTTTTAGTTTTTTTATGTAAACATTTATATCTGTAAGATTGCTAGTTCTTGTCATAATTTTTATGTATTCCATTTTAAAGTATTATATTTTATACATAAAGGAATATTAGTCATATCAAATTGTTACATCTATAGAGCACGGTTTTTTTATAGGGTTTAAATTCTAAGTTGTTGTTGTTCCTTTTTATTGTAACATCTAAATAATTTATACTTTTATTGGCTTTATTCTCTTCTTCTACAGTAAACTGTATTTCTTTGTTTATGCTGTTTATGGTTACTTCTGTATTATTGATTGTAGTTTCATTTTCATCTTACATTATTAAAACATCATCAGCATATGCCTATAAAATTTTATCCCTTGCATTTTGTGTATCTTCTCATCTATGTCGATCATCACTATCTATGCCAATTTTGGTCCTACTACAGAACCCATACTAATCCCATCATTTTGAGTATAGTGTTCACCTTCCATTTCAAAATAGTTACTGCTATACGAAAAGTTTATTAAGTCTATTATTTCTTGTTCTACATTAAGTTTCTTTAGTTTCTTATCTACAATATCCCATACCATTGAAGGGTACATATTAGTAATGTCTAAACTTGCTATTCTATAGGTATCTTTTATTGTTATATTTTAATATCAGTTAAAAGTTCCTCTGTACTATATATTGCAAATCTTGAATTTTGGTTTGCTTTCAATTTCTGTTTTAAGAATTTTTCAAGGTATAGTGGAGTGAATTTAAAGTCTATAATAGGTCTTAACTTTTCATTTGGTTTGTGAGTTTTGAGCTGGATGTTAATTTTAGGCAATCATTATCATTATTCAAAATAAATTCTGTCTCTCTTTTAGTCAATTTTTTTAACTTTTGTAAGAGAGTGATTCTACTTTTTAGTTCTTTAGTTATAATTTCTTTTGAGGCTACTGGGAGTTTTCAAAAGCAACCATTTTTTACCAGTTCTTATTTCTTGGTTTTTACCCAATTATTATCTGCTTTGATTTATCGGCTCTAATTATTTGTAAGTTGTTATTAGTTAAAAAGTTTTCTGTTCTATTAATTTTATCTCTATATTTATAATATTCTTTATCTTTTATAACAGTTTTTTCTTTTGTTATATATCTCTTAATTGTGTTACTCAAAGTCACTTTTGCTACCTGTGCTTCCATTTCAAGTAAATGATTACAGACTCAATCTAAATTTGAGATTATTGTTAACACTTCCCATCTATTAGGGCCATTATAGTCCAGACCCTTATTTATAACTTCTAATATATCATCAGGAATTGTTACTTGAGTTTTGTTTATTACTAGAGATTGCTTCCATTCATTTATTTCAATATTAGTTGGATAATCACACCTTTTTGAGTTTTTTATGTTTATTAAGTTCATAAGATCTCAGCTCCTGTATTTGGCAATTCTCAATTTTTTGCTGGTGTTTAGTATTCTTATCTTTAAATCTTTTAAGGTTATGTTTTAGTCTTCTTAATTTAATATATTTGTACTTAATAGCAGATCTTAGGAAATATTTTAATCTAAAAATATTATCTCTTGTTGGTATTGTTTCAGTTATACATTTGGGAAGGGAAAGTGTTCTTAATGGTCTATTTTCTCTAAGGTGTATTTTGAGAAAGTTTAAATCGATTAAGATTTTTTGGATCTAATCTTGTATTTTCTCGATGATATCAATCCGATGGGCTGGACACATTATTCTTTAGATGGAGATCACCATTTCTATAATTGAAATTTTTCTATGTTGTTTTTGAAACCGTGTTTGATAATGTCGGACAGAAGTGTTTTCTAAGCAACTTTTGTAGGGGGAAAATACATATTGCGATAACGACAGTATCTGTCGCTGTCTTCCGGACTTTCCGGTCCTAGTTTCGCCACACAACTGTAGAAAACCTCTCAAATATGTGCCAAGTGTGAGTTTCCAGAGGAGTGTAGCTACCACAACAAGAATTCTTATTGTATGCATTGGCCCTACCGCAGCATCTGTGAATGTCTAAATGATTATATTTATAACAAAGAAAAAGAAATATGTGTAAAAGTAATCTCTACCAGGGAAGACCAGCAGAGTCTCATCCTGCTGACGATACTAGGAATTTCACTGGCAGCGGCCTGCATCATGTGTTGTTGCCTGGCCCTGTGTCAGTTTTATCTCAGTTGTCAGTCTCGAGAAGATAACAGATTTTTAAGATTCAGAAGAAACAGACAGGAAAACACTACAAACAAAAATGAGAGGGAAGTTCCATCTCGTTACGATGATGCTCTTCCCCCTTACGAAATGATTATCAGAGAGAATCAGATGCATTCTTCAGTGGATGAACTGCCACCCAGTTACAACGAAGTAATGAAACAGGTGGAAATGGAAATCAAGCCAAAATAAATTACCAAAGGAAATGTATATGGCAAACCAAGAAACAAAGTACAATATATTGTAAACTATTTTGTAGTAATGTATGCTCATTGTATATACTTATGTAGCTTATGTAATTTTTTCATGAAAATGTTTCTGTGGTGTAACTTTGGTCTCTCTTAGAGACGTTTCAGTCAAAGATGCCATACTTTCCATGGCATGCAAGTCCTGTGCATATTTAGATTTTTCTGAAGAAACGCAGGAGCACCTTTCAATTCAAAGATCATAAGTGATGCTTAAGTATGCTTTAACCTTATGAATATGCCAAATTGATTTAATATTTGGCAAGAAGACCAAATTCTATGTAGGGTTATTTAGGATGTCTCATTTTAACCTTATGTATTATTGCTCTCTAAAAACACACACTAGTGCAATTATTATGGGGTATTTTCGAAAGAAATGTTATAGCTCCTACCTTGCGAGATAGAAGGAAATCGTTTTGTTTGTATAGAAGAGTGAAAAACCAAGTATGAGACAGCTATTTTCATTTACTGACCTGTGATAAGAGATTATTTCTTCAAAAAAATCCAAATCATTTACCATTGTTAATGTTGTGAAACAACACAAAGCTCTATAGTATAAATGCAAATTGAAGATCTGGAAAATCAAACACCGCTGTAATTAAAGGTGTTTAATTCTTTGCTAATTTTTGATAACTATTAAATTATGATATTTTTCTACTTTTTGGAAGAAATATTCCAACACTATCCTTTCATTATTGTATAAACCTATTATTTTACTTTTTTTTAAAGCTTATGAACATGATTGAACCAATAATTCTAATAAAATTAACTCTTTAGGTGGACTTGTTGCNATATTGAACATAGTGAAATAAATTTTTAAAATTTCATTTATTTCTCATTCCAATTATGTTATCTCATCATTTATCAATGTCAACTATATTCTTTTTCAAATTATCCTTTTTAGTATACAGGATGTATTCAAATTAAGATGTAACATCAATCATTCATATTGAATTTAAAATCATGTATCACTTACTTCTATTTAAAGTATGAACTGATAAAATTTTTACTGTAGAATAAGTTGAAGCATTTAAGGTTTTGCATCGTCAACTTTTTCTTTCTAAATGTTCAGTGTGGTTTGCACAAGAGATGCAGCATATGTATCACTCAAATCTAAGATAGATTGGCCATGTGGATTCCTTTGGGGACGCTACAGATTTAATGATTCCAAAGTTTATTTCTGAAAATATATCAAATGTGTGCTCCTCTCCAACCGCAGTCATTAGGTCCCCAAGATATGACTAGGATTAGCAACTTTCTTATATAAAAGAGGATATTTATAATGAAGTAGTTTACCATAAATATTTGTTGACTAACTGTAAATTATGAAACATTAAACAACAAAAGGGTTTTAAACTGAATATTAGAATAATTACCAAATGTTGCATAATGCCACTATTAGTTCCTAAATTTTATTTGTAATCTAACTCCAATCAATAGTAGTGTCTTTCTGTTACTGTAACAAGTGATAAAGACAAAACTATTACTTTATAATAAGAAAATAAAATATTGGAATGTCATCTGCCAGTAATGATAATATTTTGGAAATAATAAAGTAAAATTAAACAATATAAACAGTTAAAATTGTACTCAAAAGGAAGATATTATTGATAAAAAAAAAACTGGAGGATTACAATTCAATGAAGAACAGTTGGCAACCCTATCCATAACTACTCAAGATATGTTATATCAAATATGGAGTAAATTTGTACTCAGATAGGAATAAATAGTATCTTTTATGGAAACCACATTAAGCATCTGTAGAAAAAAAAACTGGAATGCCGATAGTTTATCATACAGCAAAAAATGTCATTTGCGTCAGAAATACAAAAATATAAAAAACTGAAGTTACATTTTAATATTAATTTTGTTCCAATTATATTTTGTATTATGATGTACTGTACTTCATGAAACCTTTCACATTTATTTAAAAAATAATAAAATTGAAATAAAAAATTTCTAGCATTGTATTGAACTATTTATCACTTATCACTGATTAGTCATCGTCAATTAATCAGCAGTTAATTTTAGATTGTTTTTATCCTGAAAAACATTCATTAATAAAATCATAAAGTATGACAGGAACTATTCAACCTTGTAATATGATAGAATTAGTTAAAATGGCAATTATTGTTCATTGTTAACTCTAAAAAGGACAAAATTCTATTAATTTTATACTTTGAATTTATATCTTGATATGTTAAAATAATCAGATTGGTTAATTTGTTTAATGTATTTATGTCTGAAACAGTCAAAGACAAACTTTAATTTGAAATAAATGCATTATTACACTAAAAAATATTTAACAATGCAATTCTACTTTCAACTTAAAATTAAAATTATACAACATTTATTTATACCCAGTTTAAAAAAGTATAATAGTTCGAGGACTAGCACTACAGTGCTGAGAAAAAGGTAAAAATATTTATATACACTAAACTGATTACAACATACAGTGGTACCTCAGGATACGAAATTAATCCGTTCCGAAACTGAGATCGTATCATGAAAATGTCGTAAGGTGGTTCATCTTTTCCCATACGATTACATGTAAAACCAAATAATTCGTTCCAACGCGAAAAACATACTCAAATTAAAGCCAAGTAATACATTTAAAAAAATAACTGTAGTAAGAAAAACAAATGAAAAATGCGAACTAATGTAACGTCGTATGGTGAGTTTTTGTTCGTATCGTGGAGCAAAAATATGTTCGAATTTCATGTCGTATCCTGAAAATTTCGTATCCTGGGGCGTTCGTAACCTGAGGTACCACTGTACTTTAAAATAATTGCAGACACAGTATTATCTACTAAATATAAATTAAATTGCACTTTTCCTTAAGTTCACACAGAACTGAAAACAAGATTATGTCAAAATATAATAATTTGCTTCAAAAAAAATCATAATAATTGCAACTTTTTTCAAACAATAACTGTGAGTAATAGTAAATTCAAAATGAAACAACATGCATTATTTTCTGAAACATTAATGGACACTTTTACAATCCTCAGACCCTTCAAATAGGACATCTCTAAACAGCAAACACTCCAAATAATAGACACCGTCATCTATAACCAACTTACAAAAATGCAATACCCCACCTTCAATATTCTGAAAGAATTAATTATGTAAGAAATATTTTAAACAAAAACAAAGAATTGGTTCAAATATTCTTTCAGACAAGGAATTTTGACCATAGGCATCAAATAAAGACCAGATTAAAATAGGAATAGGAGAGGAGGAAAGGTTATAAAAAGTCAAACAAATGTGAGAAAACCGAATATCTTCCCACACTTTAAAATGGTCGGCAAATTGCCTTTGTGACATGACCTTTAAACTTTTACTTTGAATAACATTATAAATTTAACAAATCTGAATATATTTCCCACACCTTGAAGTGGATAGTAAATCACCTTCATAACTTGACATTCAAATGAGATTCAATTAAAATGAGATTTTTACAGCTGAAAAATAAATAACATATCTACCGTGTTATAGGGGGATCTACTGTATATATATGTCCCGCGTTTTACGAAATTCATGTTGTACGAGTCCTTAAATCAGTGATGTGACATATAGTGTAAATTGCCATTTAATCGTTTGTATAGGGCAATCCATATATTGGGCAGTTCCAGAGTAGGTGTGTTGCATGTTTCTAACATTGTTATATATAGCAATTCCATATAAAGAGTAGTCTTCGGTCATTGCATGTCCTGAGTATAGTAGAGTGGGCCCATAACGGGTTATAATTCATGTTGCATACTCTTCTTGCAAGTTCAGTGCTTCACCTTTCTTTTGCTATATCATCCTGGTGTTCGGTCAAGTGGGTAGCCAACATTCTTGCTGTGGCCCCAATGTATCTCGTACTATTCCCTATTACTTTTTTTAATGGAACCACATAAATTCCTGATTTCTCAAAGATGGAGAACTTCTCTCGGTCATTGCAAGTCTGCGCAAGTTAGGTAACAGAGAAAGGGGGTTAAGATTTCATATTTAACAAAAATTCACTATACCTTTAAAATGCAGTCTAGTTTACATCTGTCGAACGTTTTCGGTCTGATTCACAAACCTTCATCAGGATCGAATTATCAATCGAAATATATTTCAAATTTGCATAACGGAGATTCCAAACTGCACGTTCTTCTCGATTGCGCATGCTCATAAATATAATTTTATAATTTTAAAGTTGCCGCTTTCCATGCCGACGCTATTTTGTTCGATTCACGNTGTCGGACTTCTCCGACGTACTTTGCGACGACATCGTACGCAATCGATCTCGGGTACCCGAAGAACCGAACGATTTCCGTCGCCGAGCGCCCGGTGCGAACACTTTCGATAATCGCAGCTCTTCGGTTACACTCCACGCTCGGTTTAGACATTGCGACCGTTTCGAGGTTACGACGGTTTAGTACGCGCCTCAAGCTATTTGAATGCCAAACATCTACCGGCGGTATAGAACGGCGGGAATTCGAAATCGAATTTCATTCGGATTTTGGCGCCGCACCGCGTAGATAATTATACTTTTAGTTCTATACAAAGTTATCTCAATCGAAACTCGATTTCTATCATTATTAATTCTCGACAACGTAAGAAATTAACTTATAATTTTTTAATAAACCGACTTGATTAATTATTTCAAAATGTTTTAATCTTCAGTTTGAGATCGTCGGACGGTCAAAGAATCAAAAATGCTAGCCCACCGCTCCGGAAAATCCGGTTCGAGCGAAAGTTAGCTCACTAATTTTCGCAAGGGGTCAACACAAATTGCATAGGTTCCATCCGTTGCCGTCCGGCCACCCCAAAGGTAGGCTAAACAAAAACGACGACGGGCATTAAAAAAAACCTCTTAGTGCTCAAAGCAGTGGCATAGTTGGGTACACAAGGATGCCAAGTTAGAAAGTTTTTCAAAACTAAAATTAATCAAAACTTATTTAAGAAACAGCGCGTCACAATACCATCTTAGTTCTTTGGCCGTTATATCAATTGAAAAAACAATAGCTATTCAACTCGATCCGGAGAAAGCAATCGACCGATTTACGAACAAAAAAGCGAGAAAACGACAATTTTGAATTTTTTTTAACGTATCGTTACGTATTTGTTACGAAATTAAACTCGCATACACTTTGTCAATACAGTTTATATATATGTTTATTACATATATATATATATATATGTAATAAATATTATTAGGTATTCTGTACTCGAATGATAATAAAAGAAAATATAATGCTATTTGTATTTATTAAATTGTATATCTGTGTCGAAATGCCTCAAATCTCAAATAAATTGTTATTAAGTAAGGTTTTCAATCGAAATACAGTAATTAGATATATGTTTAAAAACATATATGTAATTATTTAAAATTTGCAAAGTTTTATAGATAAATATGAAAAGAATTGAAGGAACAAAGCACACAAGGTACCTGTGACGCGATAAACCTCTTCTGGATTTTCAGTCAGAAAGTTTTTATACCTTTCCCTCAAAAACATTCCTAATCTGTAATGTTGATATTTTCCCAACTGAAAATAAACAAATAGAAAATTATGAAAATAATAATTAAGATTTTTTAAAATATTATTACAAAATAAATATTTAAAATTTTTTAATATATAATATTATGACTTACAACTGTCAATTCTCCTAATGCTACTGGCCATTTATAATGCAGGTTAGGATCATTTGGATAGAGAGAAATGGGAGTTCGATCACCGTGTCGAAACACCTAAAAATATTTACTTAATGAGAACATAGATTATTGATGTCTACCATGTAATAATTTTATTAATTATCAGAAAAATAAATCATTATATGTAGTCATGTTTGTAGACATATTACTATTATATATAACTTACTTTTGCAGCTGTTTTGTGACATTTTAAAAACAGCAATGTGTTTTGACTGTAATTTATTAATTACATAACAAACTAATGCATAAGCTAAAGAAAACTTGAATTTATCTTTTGTTAAAAAAATCTTTTATATTATGCTTTATACTATACAATATTATATTATGCTTTATACTATACAATATTATATTATGCTTTATACAAATGCATGATATTCATGCATTTGTATAAAGCATAATACTGAGCATCTTTATGAAAGAACCATTATACACTCACTACCAAAAGTTAAGCACGGAGTGGTAAACTGCAAAAAAACCGACAAATACAGCTGTGATTGACATGAAATGCAGAAGGACAGTAAAAAATATGTTTATGCATGAAACAACACAAAGAATTACATAGAAAAATGAAAACAATATTGAATTTTCATAAAGTATAAGATGAAATCATATTGGAATTATTAACAAAAAGATGTTTAAATCCAAAACAAACAAACAAAACCAACATTAATAGGGTAAATGTTCACCCCTTATCCTTACACAAAGTTTACAGCATGTAATCATGCTTTCCATGAGATGATCAACCACACCAGAGTCAAATAAGTGCCATTCCTCCTGTAGAGCAGTTTGCAACTCTGAGAGTGGCAGGGGGTGGGAAACGTGCACACACAGCACAGCCGAGGGCATCCCAAAGATTCTCAATGGGATTGAGGTCTGGCGAATACGCCTGCCGAGCCATACGTGCTATTCCCTCATTCTCAAGGTAGTCGTCGACGAGGGCAGCTCTATGGGCCATGCATTATCATCCATTAAAACAAAAGCAGGACCAACTGCTGCAGCATATAATTTCACAATGGGTTCAAGGACTTCATCCCGATACCGGACAGCCATCACAGAACCCCCTTGATAGTTGTGCAGGTAAGTGTGATATCCCAACGAAATGGCTGCCCACACCATAATGCTTCCACCTTGGAATGCGTGATGCTCGATGATGTTCTGGGGTTGATTGCGTGTGCCTTTTTCTTTCCATACTCTTATAAGTTTGTCATCTGACTCCAGGAAAAATCGTGACTCATCTGTGAACATAATGTTCCACCAATCAGACACAGTCCAATTCACATCTTTCCGACACCACTTTAATCGTGTGCCTCTGGATTGGATGGATAGTGGAACACAAACTCATGGTACCCAGGCGTACAGTCCGTTCATGTGTAGCCTTCGGCACACAGTAGTAGCAGATATTGTTTTACCAATGGCTGCTGCAACTATTGCTGTCACACGTGTAGAGGTTGCTCTTCGATTCTGCTTGGCTACAACAGCAATATAGCATCTTCTGCAGGGGTCATAATTCTTGGGTGACCAGCCACAGGTCTCCAGACAACTGTTTGGCTTGTTTGGAATTGTTTCCATAACCGTGAAATGACAGAATGATGAATGCCGAAGAAAAGAGCACTGTATGTCATTCGTCTTCTGGAAGTCATTGAAACACGTCAGTCATGCACACTAATTGTACAACAGTTCTCACATTTTTTCTCGTCACTTACATGCAACTCCTCTCACACTTCAGAAGGCTGGCTTCTTATATAACTGCCAGTTTTGCATATTTTGCAACACATAACCGTAATTTATAGTAATTTAACATATTTGCATATTTCCACCTACCTCTGTAGCAAATTGCAGCCTCTCAAATGCCGATTTCTTTCCGGACATGAATATTTTCTGCTCCGTGCTTAACTTTTGGCAGTGAGTGTATTACACATATAGAGTATAATATAATGATTCTTTAAGAAAAGTTACAGTTCAAGTTATTTTAGCTTATGCATTATTTTTATGTATATATTATTTTCTTTTATTATGTAATTAATATATTATAATAAAGTCATATTGTTTTTAAACTGTCACAAAGCAGCTGCAAAATTAAGTTGCAGCTGCTTGTGACAATTTAAAGACAACAATTTAAACATAAATTATATGTTTACAAATAGTATGTCTAATATTGTATTATAGAATGCATCATAAATAATACAGTATTATAGTTCTGTCACAAAAATGCTCAATAATTTTTTATGCATTTGTATTTTTGTACACTAAAAGATAATCAATACTTTCTAATTAAATATTGTTTTGTTAAAGAATCAATTAAGGAAACAGTATATTTTATATTACACATAATTCCTTATTATATTTTGCATCATTTTGTTAATTCCTTTGTTGTCAAATTACTACTATTAAATCCACATAATAAATACTGTAGTGCTAAACTCATTTCCAGAGAACAGAATAACAAAAATATTTGTATTACATTAAAAGTTTCATAACTTCATCTACATCAAATCTTTAAAACAATTAACATCTTTCATCTAGAGTTTAATTTTATTACTAAAAATGTGGCGCAGTTTAACTCCAAAATATTTGCTGATTCAATAAGAATATTTAGATAACACATCAACATATTTTCACTTATTTCAAAGAAAGTGAGAAGTTTTTGTTTACAATGATTTATTGCAAGATTTTAAACACAGTATAATAAAATAATCATGTAGATATTTTACTTTACAGTTTATCACTTGGAATAAGATAAGGATGAGCAAAAATCAATTAACATTTTATAGGGCGATCCATATATTGGGAGTAGAGTAGGTGTGTTGCATAAGATATATTTTAAGATTATTTTAACGATAGTCAAAACTGGTTTGTGTCAGATATATGTTGCTGAATGTGATGAATCATAAATAACAACATACTGTTCCAAATTGGTTTTAACTATTCTTAAAATATATTTCTAGAGACGGGTAAATATCACTTTTCTTGAATTTGAATATTAACCAAATCTTGAATACTTGAATATCTCAAATACTTAGTGAACTTAATTACCTTATATAACTTATTTAGTTAATAATTTATTTAATATTTATTATTAAACTTGTTTTATTTTTTTCAATATAGTAATAAAGTACAACAAAAAATTAAAATAAAAACAATTTACTAAATTTTAAGAAATGAAACTTCAAACTTTTAATTTTGATTTTAAATTAAAATAGCATTTTAAGTACTCTTATCTCAAGTACAATACGCTAACAAGTAATTGTTCCCATTATCACTTATTACTTGTTTTATTTAAGAAAACAACAACAATATACAACAAACAAGAATTAAAAAAACATTCAGGATTTAAACTACTACTTTTCTTGTTACAAGTTAAACCAGAGATACACTAAAGATGCACTGTCTGTACACAGTGGTGAATACAATTGACACAAAAAATTTTTTTAATTTAATATTTTGAACTTTGAAATGTTCTTTTAAAAAGTATTTATGACAACAAATATGATTTATCGGACTGTCTGCAATACAATCATCATGCGTGTGTTCATAAAAGGTAATTATTAATTAAACTATAAAGAAATTTAACGCTGGAGTAGATAAATTACCCAACTTTCACTGCCTGTAACCGGTGTACAGGCAGTGAAGTTGGGTAATTATTAATTGTTCGAATATTTTTAATTTTTGAGTTAGCCCTCTTTGGGTACTTCTTGATCCTTCAGTGTGACTATGTCTGGTGCAATATCACGGATATTCATAGTATTTGATTTATTTTTTATCAACATAACATTCGAGATTTGAATCTCGAATACCTTTTAGTATTTGAATATTCACAGGTAGTACAGTGGAACCTTGCTTAATGAGCATAATTCATTCCAGAATCTTACTCGTAATATGAAATACTGATTAAGCGAAATAATTTTTCCCATATAAATTAATATAAAATACGATAATGCATTCCATGCCAAAAAAAAATACTCAAATATTTTATGTATAACATTTATTCAAAGAAAATTATACAATATACATAGTTAAAGAGTGTGAATCATCATTTCTTCTAGCACAGAATTAACTAACCTGAAATGTAAATTCAATTTGCAGAAAACAAAAAAAATCATAGATAATATGTCAGATAAACACACCAAACGATATGCCAAAATCTTGTGCTACATAAAGGTTATAATTAAATATTAGAAATTAATTAATTTGACTAGAGGTAGGCAGTTGATTCCATCTTGTATTAAATTTAATAATTATAAATAAATAATTTTTAATTTAGACATTTCTAAAATTTAGTTTGGAATTGGTCATTAAATTTATTACAAGATGGCAGCATAACTGCCTACCACTAGTCAAATTAATTAATTTCTACTATTTAATTATAGCCTTTAGATACCCCAAGAATTTGGCATATCGTTTGGCATGTTTATTATATAATAGACTGTGGTTGTCGATGTTTATACATAGTATGTGTGAACACAAGTTTGGAAAAATGTGTGATCACAAGCGACAGAATGAGTGCTAAACACAGACTGACGTAGCAAGTGCACAATCCAGGACTTCTCTCCTCGTCACTAGTTATGCAAAACATCACTTGTTAAGGGAGTCATTATGTTATAATTTTTTTTGCTCATGCAAGGTGCTCATTAAGCAGAGTTCCACTGTACTTGCCTACCTCTATATACTAAAGTTAATTGACTTTTTGAGTCACTCTTTCCTCCAATATTTTAAAAACATCTTAAATTAATTTAATAAATTTTTATATACAGGTAGTTAGTTAACAAAAACTAAACAGAAATATTCTTATATATTCTTTGTTTTAAGAAACTTACAAAGGGAACTGAATCAAACAACATAAGAAATGTGAGTGAAAAATAAAATTTTTGATATACTTAAACTAAATTTTGCATAATTATAATAAAACGCATTTCTATACATTTTGAAAATTAAGCATCTTGTTAGATTTTAAAAATAGACAAAATATTCTGTAAGAAGTTTTAGGATATAAATAATGTAAATGAATGGTAAAATTTGTAATTCCAATAGTTCAAAATGATAAAAAGAGTGAGTATTTAGTATCAAAACTTCTTTGTTCCATTATCTAAGCTGATTCATTATCCTGTTGAATGAACAAACTCAATAGTTATTGATATATTTCAAATGACTCAACCTAGTTAATACATTAAAAGGGATATAATGCATATTCTTACCAGAATATGTCAATATATACATATTGGAAAAAAAATTATCTGTTTCCAATATATCCACATTAAACACAATCAATATATCTAATCTATCTCTACAGATCTGATTCACAATTTACATTTGGTTAATGAAATTTTTTCTGTATTTAAAGGGTGCAGGCACCAAAATCTGGACAAATTACACATTTTTTCCAAACATATTTTTTATTGCAAAAATGAAAAAGTTTACAAATTTTTTAACCACAATGTTTGTAAGGCCATAAAGAATACATTTACTCAATATTTATTTATTTAGCATTCTGGTACAAAGATCCTGATGCAGGGGATAGAACAAAACAAAAGTAGACATAACCTTACAAAATAATATAAACATATTTCACAGATATATCCATCAATTGCAGTAACATAATATAATATTTATAAAAAATTACACATTTCATAAATCATTCTAAACCAAATTCAACAAAAAAACTTAAAGAACTACATGGGAGAACTATCCGAAACAAATTAACAACCAACTAGGTTAAAACTTACATAGAAAAATAAAAAACAACAGTTTATATCACTCTTTCAAAAAAATTCGGATAGTCTCCCAAGCGTCCAAGCAACCACAGGTTAAATAATAGGCACACCATGCCCCAAAATGAATACAGGTAACCCCCGTATAACACGGTAGTTACGTTCCAAAAAATTGCCGTGTTATGCAAAACAAAGAACTAGTACGAAAAGGAAGGTTAGGTTGCAAAATTAAAAAAACATGCTACTATATTTTCATAATTAAGATAAATATCTTCATTAAAATTTTTTTAAGTGATACATATTAATATAAATTAAACAATGTTTTCTTCGTCATCACTAAAAACACTATTAATTAACCGAGAGCGTTTTCTTTTTGGCAAGTTATCCTTATCCTCTGAGCATTTTTCTGCATTATCTTCAGATCCATGCTTTACCTTTTGCAAAATGTATGTAATTTTAGATTGCTTGCTTCTAGTTAAAAGGTCTTTATAAATTTCCTTATATGGTGCTAAGCACTTATGAAGAATAAAGCAAGTATGGAATAAGGGAAAAACATTCGGCAACATCAGAAGCAGAAGCGTCGCGATCTGGCAACATTGAAACAAGTTTCGAGAAGGACCACGTGTATCGACAGAAGGCGAGAAGAGAAAATTTACATACTTAAGTACTAATAGTTCACGAAAATAATAATTTTCGTGAACTATTATTACTTAAGTATGTAAAAATTTATTACATTTCCTGTTGTACGAGGGTTTTACCCAATTCTCGAACCGTGTCAGAGTGAATCCGTGCTATAAAAGTACCGTGTTCTACGGGGGTTACCTGTACTCAATATATCCCCTCCTGCTTGAATGGCTGCCTCCATTCTTGGTCTGAAGCATGCATTGCTTGGTCTGAAGGCACGCTTTAATTGTGTCACGGTCCATATCGGCGAATGCCGCATCAATAGCAGCTCTCAATGATGCAACATTTGGATGTCTGGATTTGTTCGTGACCCTTTCAACTACGCTCCATACATAGAAGTCCAAAAGATTCAAATCTGGGCTGTTGGAAGGCCAGAATTCTTTCAGCCAAAATATGTCAACATTGTCCCACAACCAATTTTGCACCAAATGACTTGTGTGGGCGGGCGCACCGTCCTGCTGGAAAACATACGGCTTTCCAGACGACACAGTTTCCGTCCTCGGCTTCACTACATTTGTCAGAACACGCAAATAAACTTCTTTTGTGACATTTTCCCCTTTGTTAAAGAAATACGGTGACAGGACATCACCCTCACTGGACAGAACACGTAGCACGTGAACATTTGCCAGAAATTTCATTCTTGCAATAATGGGGACATCTTCAGGGTCGTGGCGAGCCAGCAGTCATTCCTTCAATTGATTTTCGCATCAACAGTAAAAATTTCCTCGTCGGGAAAAAATCTGAGTTGTTCGGCAGCATTGTTTCTTAAGGAACACAAAAGCAGGTCACAGCATTCAACTCACTTTGTCTCGGTGGCTTCGGAAAGCTTTTTCACTTTAATTGTGTAAGACTTGTAGCAGAGGTCCTACTCGGCAATTCTACACACGGTTTTCTCACTCGCACCAACAACCGACGACAATTTTTGAATTGACCGACCCGGATCCTCAAAAATCGGCTCCCGAGAACGTCGAATGATTTTGGGCGTCCCAACAACACGCTCCCGCAACTCGCCGGTATTGTAAAACCTTTGTCGGACTTCTCCGACGTACTTTGCGACGACATCGTACGCAATCGATCTCGGGTACCCGAAGAACCGAACGATTTCCGTCGCCGAGCGCCCGGTGCGAACACTTTCGATAATCGCGGCTCTTCGGTTACACTCCACGCTCGGTTTAGACATTGCGACCGTTTCGAGGTTACGACGGTTTAGTACGCGCCTCAAGCTATTTGAATGCCAAACATCTACCGGCGGTATAGAACGGCGGGAATTCGAAATCGAATTTCATTCGGATTTTGGCGCCGCACCGCGTAGATAATTATACTTTTAGTTCTATACAAAGTTATCTCAATCGAAACTCGATTTCTATCATTATTAATTCTCGACAACGTAAGAAATTAACTTATAATTTTTTAATAAACCGACTTGATTAATTATTTCAAAATGTTTTAATCTTCAGTTTGAGATCGTCGGACGGTCAAAGAATCAAAAATGCTAGCCCACCGCTCCGGAAAATCCGGTTCGAGCGAAAGTTAGCTCACTAATTTTCGCAAGGGGTCAACACAAATTGCATAGGTTCCATCCGTTGCCGTCCGGCCACCCCAAAGGTAGGCTAAACAAAAACGACGACGGGCATTAAAAAAAACCTCTTAGTGCTCAAAGCAGTGGCATAGTTGGGTACACAAGGATGCCAAGTTAGAAAGTTTTTCAAAACTAAAATTAATCAAAACTTATTTAAGAAACAGCGCGTCACAATACCATCTTAGTTCTTTGGCCGTTATATCAATTGAAAAAACAATAGCTATTCAACTCGATCCGGAGAAAGCAATCGACCGATTTACGAACAAAAAAGCGAGAAAACGACAATTTTGAATTTTTTTTAACGTATCGTTACGTATTTGTTACGAAATTAAACTCGCATACACTTTGTCAATACAGTTTATATATATGTTTATTACATATATATATATATATATGTAATAAATATTATTAGGTATTCTGTACTCGAATGATAATAAAAGAAAATATAATGCTATTTGTATTTATTAAATTGTATATCTGTGTCGAAATGCCTCAAATCTCAAATAAATTGTTATTAAGTAAGGTTTTCAATCGAAATACAGTAATTAGATATATGTTTAAAAACATATATGTAATTATTTAAAATTTGCAAAGTTTTATAGATAAATATGAAAAGAATTGAAGGAACAAAGCACACAAGGTACCTGTGACGCGATACAATTTATAAGAGCCAATCACTTGGCATAAAACAACAATCGGGCAGCACAAACTGCATTACTCTGTAAAACGTACAATTTAAAGCAAATACGAACAGAATAACCGAAAAGACTAGGGCAGGCGCAGTCCACAAAGTTGTGTTCAAATCTATTTTCATAAAAATCCATCTTAAATTTACAATGAAAATAAAATAAAATCTATTCTTACGACATGCAGAAGCTGAAGCGATTTAAGATCGTCCGATTTAAAAATTTCGCCGCTAATGGCAGAAATTAAATGGCATAAAAACAAACATATTCCAAACACCTCCACCATCTTCGCCACCTTCCACTCGAATGTAGCGCCACGTTCAGTTGATTATAAACAAAACTTTTCTCTTTATTATTTTTTTTATAAACGATAAATTATCCAAATGTTTTCGAGTGAAATATTATTTTAATAATTACGCTATTTACTCATATAATGAGATATTTAGTATTTTTATCAACGATAAAATTATTAATAAGTATGATCGATCGACGAATATTCTAGCTCATTGCCATTGATTGTGCCTTTTTATCTTTAGCTCTTTCCTCCCGGTGAACGCTAAAAGGGGTTTTTTGGGGTCTGTCGCCGGTTTGGTGGATGGCGAGAGACGGGGTCCGAGATATTTGGGACGGACCACCCCGAAAAATTCCTGGGAGTCACCTGCCTGGATTCGATCTCGGATCCCTCGGAGCGGCAAACCGCCTCTTTGTCCGTTTATAATTAATTCGCAAAATACAATAAGAAACTTAGAAGACGGTTATTGTTTCGTGAGACACGCTACTTAATGTTTATTCGGTTGGTTTGAGGCTTAAAACTTTTAACCCAGTCAAACTGATGTAGGCCTCCAACTGCGGAACGATTCGAGCTTACAAAAGAATGGTATATAAACGTTTGCTTATAAAGAATCGCTATGGCTGTAAGAGAAAATATCGAAATACCGAACAAGATGGTGAATTTTAACGAGAAACGTTAGCCCATTAAAATAGTCATTTACTGCTGGATAAAACGATATTGTGCCAATTAATTGTCGTTTTATGTCATTGTAAAATTACTTTACTGCATCAGATATCTGACAAAATGTAATAAACGATTACATTGATAATGCGTTACGAAATGGAATAAATGTAAATGAATGTCGTTTCTGAAATTCTTCCAAATTAAATCCAAAGTGTTTTATATAAATATATATTTATGAACAGGGCCCTTCGGAGGTCGACAGTAACCCGGGCCACTTTTTTTAAACTCCCACTAAACTAAACTAAATCATAAAAGAAAAGCATTTAAAAATTATATTTTAGTTTCTGAAAAATATACATTTATTTCTTGTCAAATTTTATGTAAGAAATGTGCCGGAATAGATACTTTGTAACAAGTGCTTTTAAGGCCTGCATAAATTTGAAGACGATCCAAATGACCCTACTGACATTCTCCGTCATAGGACCTGTTTCGGGATCCACAGAACATCCGTCGATGGTGGGTTCGCTCCTCGTGGTGGGCCGTCCACGAGGGGTTTTCCACAAATCTAATATATGGAGTTCGAGTAGCGAGGAACGGGGCCCTACATATCCGGGTAGAAGCACTCGTAAAGATTTCTGATCCAAATTCCTCCGGAGCAGCGAGCTACTAACCTTATTGTTTCCGCCATTCGTCCATTCCAAACGATCTCATAATAAAGATAAAGTAAATAAAATTTTAGAATTAAATTTATGTATCTTTAATCGTTATTATTATTATTTTTTTAAATTGAATACTAATTTAATTATAAAATATGTAATACAGTAGACCCTCGATTTAAGACTCGGGTAATCTTCTTACATAAAGTTTCGTACTTAAATCTTTATACTATTTTTTAAAAGATTTAAGATATTTCTTGCATCCAGTTTCTTCGAATGTAAACATTAAATAACGTTCTTTTACTTGAGATCATTAAATCTTAATTAAATGAAAATTAAAAACAAATAATCTGGATTGAAATTATTCAAAGCAGTTTCTTGTTACGCGTGGTCCTAAAATTCTTAAATTAAGAAAAAGTGAAAAATCGGTGGTACTTGTATACGACTAAAAATTCTACAGATGTAAAAGCACACAGAGAATAAGGCCGGGAGAACCATACGGGTCGGGCCTTACAAATTTGGTCTTTTATTTAGGAAAAAAATCCTGTTTACTTTATCTATTTGATTTATATACTGTATTTATATGGCTTCCGAAGAAGGCCGAGACCAGGTATTTGTAGTTAGCCAGGCCTTACCAGGCTTGATTTTATTAATCAGGACTTAAGAAAAGTAAACATTATTAATAATAATTTATTGGTTTATTAATTAACTGTCGCGTAGTAGACTACGCGGTCGATGACAATTACGCTCAATATGAGAAGGCTCGGTCTAAAATAAATGTTCAAAGAGAAAAACTTTTTAATTTTGTAGATAATAATATAAATTATTAACCTAATTTTTATTTCTTTTTAGTAAAATCTAAAACAAAACTTGTACAAAACAAACGATCTTCTGTATAAAATACTATCAAATGCCAGAAACCTGTCTAACGCGACAATAGAAGACTTTTTGGGTGCCGATTGCTTAAAAACACGACTCTACATAAAATGTAAACTCATCAAAACGGACGGCCTGTATCCTCGGGTTCCGTCTTGGACGGGTTTTATTGTATTTATATTAGTGATGTGTCGGATATCCGTATCCGTATCCGCGGATATCCGAGAGAAAAAAAAAGACCCGTATCCGTTACTTTTTAGCGGATGTTTAACGGATCTTTTACCTTAATGAATTTCATTATTTATATGAAATTTTAAAGATAGGTAGCAATAAAATACTAATAACTTCAATTCAAATGACTTTTTATTTCTTAAAATCACATATTTGGCGCATTCGTATTGCAAAAATTTTATCACTCAAAATTCATTTACTATCGTAAAATATTTCCATATTATACTACTAAACTTTTTTGTCGACATTGTTTTTATTCTAATTTAACTCGACACTCTCCAAAGATACGAACGTAATCTACGCTATCCCGTGTCACACTAAACTATAAACAAAAACGCGCAGTGCGAGTCAAAACACGTCGCGTTACTAACGCAAAACGTCGACTATCGGTCCAAGGTCGCAAGCGCCGGCGCCGACTGAGTGCGAAACTTGAGATCCGTATCCGTATCCGCGGATCTAGACACTAATGATCCGTATTTGTATCTGTATCCGCGGATATACACTTTTAACCATCCGGCACATAACTAATTTATATGTGTAGTATATATGTACATCGTACAGTACATATTGTACTTTCCTGCCTCGATTATCTTTGATACATTATATATACCATATATTATACATGATGGTAAGACGACATTTGTGACTGGATCTGTCTCATCTCACTCCATCCCATCGTAAAAATATATACAAGTTATTTATAAATTAATTCTAGCGACATTCTCTTTAATGGAAGAATTTGATACTTAAGTATTTTTATTTTTTAGTGCATTCTTTCAGATATAAACGATTTTCACGGTATTCGCTCGTACCATCTCCGAAATAATAATTCTTATACTTCGCAACATTCGGGATGTGTGAGTCGAACTCGGAGCCCGGCGCTTTTAAACAAAGGAGAAGGGCCTCTTTTATACGATAACTTATAACCAGGAAAAATCAAAATCCGAGCTTGGCTACTGCTTTAATAATTTAAAAAAATATGTATTTGCATTAGTAGAATAGTCTACTAAAAGGTTATCGTGTACAGTCGGAAAAATCGATAAAAGATGCTTCTCCCGACTACGTTTCGTACTACGTTGTAGAATAGGGTAGTGTATCTGCGTAACACATGGATTATTTGGGACTTTTTTTGCTTCGTACTTGGCCAAGCTTCGTTAATTTTATTTTAGTAAATGATGAATTTATTTGGATATTTATCGTCGATGGATACCGAGATAATTCGCGCCTTCCTTCCTCATTTGGGATTTGTTTACACCACGCCAAACGCACGATTTCCTCACGGTTTTGAGTGTGGTAAGCGAAGGTTTCCGTAATTAATTAACTAAAAACCATTTTAAAATCTAGTTTAATATTTAATTAAATTGTCCCGACAATTAATAAGGCTCCATTAAAATATTCGAAATAATTAGAATTTAATTTAGTCGAGTTGTTTACGCATCGACCCTGCAAAGGGAATTGTAATAGTCGTGATTATCTGAGACAATTTTTAATTATATTTAAACTAGTTTTCTAATTTAATTAAAATGAATTAATATTATATATCCGGTTTTACGATGAACATACGCTGACAACGCATTACTTTTCGTGCAAAGAAAGATATTCTTTTTGATTATCCTACACATTTCCGGGTAACGGGAAATTAGAGTATGTCTGTGTGTCTATCGGCAGGTAACTTAATAATCTTATTTTAATTTCAAATGGTTCGAACGAAACCAAAATATTTTGATATCGGAATACGAGCGATGATATATATTGATTTTTGTCAAGATTAAATACAGGAAACGGAACTTATTGGCGTTTGTTGTTGCGTTTACGTTATATTTATGATATACGGATTGCGAGTGGTTATAATTCAGCACATTATCGATAAAGATGTATAGCGAATATAATACATATTTCTAACAGATTAAATTCTATATACAGATAAGAGAAGCGCAGTTTGGTTTTTAAGGGGTTTTATTGCTATATAAGTTTAAGGGCAAGGAGACTTCTTAAAGTTATAAGTTATATAGGGAATTCGCGGACTTTCCAGGCATACGTTAGTTTACATAGTATAAAGCGCGTGTCGTACGCTATTTATATTGTATAAGGTTTAGGTACCGGATTCTAAGTGCTGGACCAAGATCGAGTATCGACAAACGCGCAGCGGATAAAGCGTTGTCGATGGGGGATTCCGCGTGTTCTTCGCGAGTCTAACACCTAAACGGGGTTCAATTTTCCGTAGAAAATCCTTCTCGGAAGCCATCCCTTGGCAGACCGCCTACGCGTTGTCTTATTCCATCGAAGCCGACCCCGTCGTCCATTTTATTGATAAATATTCCAGATTTCTAATAAAGGCTCGGAATTGCTATGGAAAGTTTTCTTCTCGAAAGGCCAATCGCATTATTCCAGAATATCCGAGAATCGAATATAATTTCGGTTGTTATATGAATATTCGCGAAATTTGTGGCGGTCAATGGAAAAGCGTTATACCAAATTAAAGATGCAAATTCATGGATTATTACGAATTTAATTAATAATAATTAAATGTTTAATAATGTGTAAAACGTCGCATAGACTGATATTTAATAAAGCCAGG